TTTTCATATTGGCCCTGTAACATGCCCTTGGTATTAATAATCGCCAAGGATGGTTGTAATGGCCCCGAGGCAACGCCGAGGGCCATTACAACTGTCAGAGGCCATTATTAATACCAAGGGCATGTTACAGGGCCAATATAAAAAAGTCCATATATTGATACTTTTATTAACCAACTTCATTCAAGAACAGTCAGAGTCCATAATTATTATTAAGGATATATGTATCAGGGCCATTATGAAAAAAAAAAAACATATGTACTTTGATGCTTCTGTTGACAAATTTTATAATTAAATATGTGTTTGTTCATAAAACATGGCGTTATTTTTGAGATGGAATTGTTTTTTATGTGTGTGCACTTGTTCTTTGAGTTTCATTTTTGACAACTGGAAAAGACCATATATCAATTATTCTTTTTGCAATTACTGTTAACCGTTGTCTGTTGAGTTTGAATCCCAATGTTGAAGGCCTTGTAGTGAACTCTAAATGTATAATGTTGAATCGGCTTACTGTTCCCATGGACATGATGGAAGATAAGGAATGAAAATACCATTGATTTTTTTAATTAACATAAACAAATAAATCAACATAAATATGTGTCACTGAATTGTTATTTTCAAATAATGGAATATTAGTTGATTTTCAACCTTCATAAATTAAAAAAAAGTTGTCACTTATTTAAAGAAATAAACGACATTTTGATTTAATCGATGTCCCGTTTCATCTGTTCATAATGCATGGCTGTGATTTCGTAATGCACGGGTGTGATTTCGTAATGCATGACTGAGATTTCGTAATGACTGGCTTCAGCAATTTCTCCGTTCATAATGACCAGTTGTCGAAATTTTCCATTTATAAAGCATGGGCATTTCTATACATAATGTAGTAAGTTGGTTAATAAGGATTCATAATTTAATTCGTGGAATTATATAGTAATTATTAATTTAAGGATATATCTACAAAATATACACAGAATTGAAACTTTTGTCTGGATCTTAAATACACGTAGGTGAAAAAAACTGACAAAATATGTGCAATTTGGGTACCCTCACGTTAGGGTTACTTAACGAATTGGAAATAGCTGTGTAGTACTAATGTATACGTTTCGTTTTGTAAACTATGAAATTTTGCATATTTACAGAAGATAGAGAATAAACACATATTTTTCATGTTGGGGCCTTTAATAACCAACTATACGGTATGGATTTTTCTCATTGTTTAAGGCCGTACGGTTGCCTATAATTGCTTACATCCACTTCTTTTGAACTTTGGTGGATAGTTGTCTCATTGGCAATCATACCACATCTTATTTTTATACTAGGTATTTCACGTTTTCCTTGCGAAATGATGTTCATCATCGCGCCGTGCGGTACATTAACTGGTGTTTATGATCTGATATTAAATGTTTCCAAAGGTTATTTTTTGTAAAACTAAAATTTGGTTAAAAATCGCATTCCATGCATGATGTCAAAATCGAAGAATAGATGACTGCATGGGCTTTGGCTACGACATTTGTTCTATCACGGTCAACCGAATCACGATGATGGCGTCAGATGTATGTATTGAGAACAAATAATTTTGACAATGCAGTTTTAATGTAATATTGTTTAATGCAATTTCATTTCCTTTTTACTTCTTTATTTTAGTCGAAAATAAATATGATAAATATAACATTATGACACAAACTCATGCACGCATGCTTAAAATTTGTTTTAGTCTTAACGGATATTTATACCAACCTGCATATCGTCCGGTGTCCATAATTCTCTTAACTGTATCTTCTACTGGCTGTTCCCTAATTTCCTTGTTCAAGCTTCTAAGTTTGGAAGTGTTTGTCATAATTGTGCGTTTCCAAGTGGTCAGTTCAGATGTAAACTTGTGCTTACTCTGCCGAATTGTATCCATTTTGCTGTAGATTGCCTGTAGACTCAATGTAAGTTCCGGTATACGATATTCTTTGTTTTTGATTAATCTTATGATGAGGGCTGCAATATTTGAGCAAACTAATTAGGAACACCCAAAGCAATCACTGAGCACATCAATCAAGACAAAGCATAAAATTATTTACAATTATTTATAAGGCCCGGTATACTTTTTGGACACACCGTTATTCCTAAGTTCGAAGGGGAAGGGTTTTGTTTGATCAAGATATGATACTGTTGTGATATCCCGGAATATGGTCCTGCGATATCTAATAGTTAAAATTGCACTTCAATAAAATTAATCTCACCATGCATTTCTTCTTCGGACTCTTTAATTCTCCATTGATCATGCTGCATTAGTCCTTGTAAAACTTTCATTTCTGTAAAAAAATTAAAAGAAGATGCATAATATTGATAATATATATACATCATGCTGCAAACAAATGTCTGGTTTTTCTATACAAAGAAATAAATAAGAAATTGTGTAATTATACAATGCTGATGAGTAATTATACAATACTGATAAAGGTCGCCTGAATGTTTCAAATTATCAGTAATTTGAAATTTTAATAACTTAACCGTTAAGATATATTGTAATAGCCATACTTACGATCAACTTTAGTCGTAATATTTTTTTTGTGAAACGGAGTGCAGGAATGAGTTTACAAAAAATCTTACGACTAAAATTGATAGTAAGAATACTGAATTGTATTACGATCAATTTTAGTCGTAAGTTTTTTTGTGTGAAACTCATTCCTGCAGAACTCTAACCTTGAAGTACAGAGATTCTAAAATGATATTAACTTTGTCCGTACATAACTTACCTAAATACCTCCCATACAATTATAATGCCTGCTTTAGCGGCGCTGAAATCAACTGGCTTGGTTAAAGGTATACAGTGGGCAATAACTTCAACAAAAAGGCTAAAAAATAACGATATGATGAAAGCAGTGTACATCATCGCCATCTTCGACGTTACTACCTACGTAACTATGACCTATATATTTACCAGACATCACAATCTATACAAGGCGTCCTCAGCAACGCCACATTTTGACTCGATTTACGTGAGACGTCAATATGTGGACTTTCAAAAAAATCGTGTTCAACTATAGAACAAGTCCAAAGTCTCACTACACCTTCATGAATATTTAGTTTACAATATTAATTATGAGGCTCTGGATGGGGGTCCTTCATGTCTGTATTCTTTAATCTTTTAGGCCATTTTTCTCTATTCTTTATACTTTTTGCCCGTTATTCTCTATTCTTTATATTTTAACACCTCATTATTCTCTATTTTTTATTTTTTGGTCCATTTTTCTCTATTCTTTATACGTTTTGTCCATAATTCTCTATTCTGTAAACCCCATCCACACCCTCAATTATTTGTTGGTTGCTTAAAAATAAGTGGCAAATATTCCATGCACGTTCAGGACGATTTAACAATATAAGAATGAACGTTTAAATCAAATGAAAAAAAAAACGAAAAAAAATAACTATAGGATCTTATAGTCCCAATCTCTTTATAATAAAAATAATAAAAATGTCATACTATACTTCTGATCGAGCCAGTGAAGCTAAATGCCCCGTTTGCTCAGCTGTCTTGCCTTTTCTTAATGTGTTCTACTATGTTGCAGTATCAAAGACTAGCATACAAAACTGCTAACTGAACATAAGCTGTATAGTCACTTTATGATAAACTAAAGGTCAGATGCGGATCCTGGATTCTGAAAAAGGCCCCCAAACTAGGCAAAATTTTGGGTGGTATAGGTAAAACGTCTGAATTAACCATTGGCCTCATGCATTTGGAATTTGTGATTTCTAATTCATCATTTTCAGCATAGTGGAATTGGTGGATTAAAAGTTAATTATTTTACATGTATATATGTGCTAGCATCACCACCGAAAGGAGCTCACTACATCAATTAAAATGTATCAATATTATTACTTATCACCGGCATTGCCTGTCCAGTAATTTCTTAATCATGAAATAATGAGACGAATTTTGATATGGTTCTGGTTTAGAACTGAGGTTGAACCGTCTACCGTCTATCGTCTGTCCGTTTGTCCGGGCTTAATTGTAATTGCTCTCACGTGTACAAATCTTATAATACGAATACGAAAGTTTTAGTTTGATTCGGTTCACATATAACAGTCCAAAAATAAGCTCTTGAGAGCCTTTAATATAACATATACATAACATTACAACAGAGAGCATGGAGATAAGATATATAAGCAGCATATATTTCAATATAAAAATAAGGAGATATGGTATGAGTGCCAATGAGACAACTATCCAACAAAATTTGAATATAGTGGATGTAAGCAATTATAGGCAACCGTACGGCCTTCAACATTGAGAAAACCTGTTTAGTCGGCCTCGACATGAAAAATATGAAATAATTCAATTGAGAAAACTAACGCCGGCTTAATTTATAACAAAACAAATTAACGAAAAACAAATGTGACAGCAGGTGGCTGAACCAGCCATTTATTTTGAAAAGGGGGGTTCCAACCATTTGTCCTCATTCAAAAGCATTGGTCGTGAAAAAAGGGCGGTCCTGGATCCGCCACAGCACAGACACGAACCAACGACAACCACTGAATTCAGGCTGTCTCGTTGGCGCATACACTACATTCCTTTTCATAGGGGGAAGGCATCTAAAACTGTCACGATTAATTTACTAGACGACGATCCTGAATATGCATGAAATGTTGCCCGGCCTACTGGACGTTAGCACATAAATTAAGCATTAATTTTTAACGTTGTATGTATCTCTGTCATTTGATAGACAATAGACGATATTTTAATGGCACAAATGCAAATGATTAACATTAGGTATTAAAGTCGCGTCCAATATGAATCCGGCATCTGAATCCCGCCAACAAAAAATAAATATGGCCATGACTATTATGTTACATATAAAAAAATAACAAAACTTTTTTTAAAATGGGAAACAATAAGACGGAAACGTGTAGAAAAATGATTGAAAAAAATGGCATAAATATAATTATAGTAAACACGCGTACCATACAAAAGTACGAAATTGGTGAATTATCTCCCTTTGTATAAATCTTTTTCGTTTGTTCAAAAACATATCGTCATGCCGAGAAACGTTGGTGCTTATTTAGCCGAACAACAAAGAAAAGCTACTGGGGATGTGGCCACAGAATGGGGCCAGCTTGAAGACTTTTATAACAAAAAGTATAACTGACGTCCGATTCATTTTATTTTCAGATTTCCTGAATTAATAAGCTCATCGCCATCGGTGTGAGCCACAGTCACGGACACTGGAACTTCACTTGTTTCAACAGTAAACAAACCCTTTCTTAACATTTGAATGAAAATATAGGGTCTTCATTTTAATGATGAAATAAATGTCAGATGAGTCTGGAAGCTCAATTCAGATTCAGAGAACCTCCAAGCACACCACTTAACTTTGTGATACCAGGGTGTCCAAATTTATCTTTGTAAAAGCTTTTGGCTTTTTGCTCTGCTCTAGATTTAGTTTTTTTTAACAGCCTGTGACTTCAGGCCAGACTTTGCAAAAACCATCTGACCTGTCGGTCCTGACTGCCAAAATTTCACCAGGTCCAGCTTTTTCATGTTTGACACAGAAAAGTGGTCATTGTGGTTCATTCCGTCTTGTTGGTAGTTTGTCTAATCATTGGACACTGGTTTCCTATAGACGTATTTACACTTGTATGCAAATTTGTCCGCCATTAAGTAAAATCACACAGGTTCCCGTAAACTTTGACATCATAATTCAAAACATTTGACGTCACAATTAAAAAGTGATTGTTGCCTGACGTCAAAAGGTGATTCGGGGTAGATCTAAGGTCATTCGGAGGCAAAATATAGCTTAATACTAAAAGTGTAAATACGTTTATTCTACCTTGCGTTATATTGTGGTCAGAAATCATACATTCGGCTGTTGTCTGCTCTTTGGTCAGGTTGTTGTCTCTTTGACATATTCCCCATTTCCATTCTCAATTTTATTGTAACTTTAGAACCACTTAAAGAAATTTCAATGTCGAAGTTGGGGGTTACACATGTTGAACATAATGTTTGCACACAAATTGAAAACAGCTGCAATACGTTGAAGCCTAAATGAAGGACTTGAACATTGATAAGGGGAAGAACAATTGTGTGTTCCTGATTTCCTGACAGACCACATAGTTTGGCTACGACCATAGTGTTTTTGTGAGGATTTCTTCAAAAACTTTTCAGCAGCGAATCATTTGTTTCAACCGCTAATTCATTTAATCGAAATTCATGACAGACAATTCAACCAATACCGCATTTATTTTGTTTATTGACAAATTGCAAATGGCAAACATTATTATAATACCTAACTGGACTATGTGAAAACACAATTTTCTGTATTGAAACAGTTTTTTTCCAAAAGGTATATTGAAATACAAACTTACAGCCTTGACAATATATAAAAAGGAAACCCTTTAAATCTTAAAATACATATTGGCATGATTGGTATGTATCAAAGATGGTTCTTTTTGTATCTTAATTGCATTGTCTAATGATTGAAACCATAATATCTTTTATAACAAACTAGGTTATAATTTACAAAAAAATGAAGGACCAGTAAAAATAGATAAGAAGATGTGGTATGAGTGTCAATGAGACAACTCTCCATCCAAGTCGCAAGGTGTAAGAAGTAAACAAAGGTTGAAGTATGGCCTTCAGTTTGCTTTCTGTTAGTACTTGGTCTGACAGAGAGAAAAAAAGAAGTTTCGCGAACTCTATCATGCTTTCCTTGAGTAGTAGATACATACTAAGCCAGCCATAAGTGGTTGAGGGTTGTTCTAGCCCCAAGTTCCAAGTCGTTTCCTCTCACGTCGATCTGCCCCCATAATAGAATAATGAATAATTTATATTAACATCTGAGGATTTGGTGACATATTTGATTCAGGGTAAATGGAATTAACACAAAGCATCAATGATTAATGCCAGCAGGTAAGTGAAGTATGCCTAATAATGGAGGATCATTCAGATAATTAATTTAAAATCAATACGAAAAGTAGAATGATTGGTACTGCTTTTAAAGCAACATCAGTATGTAAATATGAAGTTATTTTCCATGATAACTTGGAATATCATGGAAATATATAGTTATTACTCCAATGGAACGTATAATTATGTAATCATGATAATGACTTGTTTATATCAAATCAATGTCTATAATTGTCTTGTTTATTCAACAATTGTCTGAGGATCGTGAACCAAAGAAACACCAGTCGTAATCACTTAATTAAATCTTGTTAAGATCACAGTCAGTTGAAAAAATGTTAATTACTGCTGATTAATATTGATGGTACTACATTCTGTTATATATGCTTTTATTTTAATTATGCATACACGATAGTCTTGAAAATTTGTAATAAAAACATTATCAACATAATTGTTTTATACTGCTTAATCATCCGTACTCATTTAACATGTTTAAGGTCAAGGAACAGTAAATAGGCTGTGTCCCACTCCGAGATTTTGGTAAAATTTTGCATACAACTTTGGCTCTTTCAAATATAATTGAAAATTGTAAAGAATAATGCATTTATATCTTTTAATAACTGAAATATTACTTATTGCATTCTTTCAAACTAGGTGAACATATGTATAGAAAACTCAACATAATATCAGCGAAAAAAGTTCTTAAACTTGTCTTAAAATTGTCATGTATCTCCAATTTCAAATCCATAGATTTTTCTTTAAAAAATTATACATGAATTTCCGTTTGAATTATAAAAAATAATCATATGGTCACTGACTTCGTGTTTGGTCTATTAACCAATCTGTTACCTAGTTGGCAGTGAAAAATATCAAAATTCAATGTTTTACGGCCTATAACATGATGACGTTATGCTTATTTTGAAGTTTTGTGGTATTTTTTCACGTAGAACCCCACTTTGAATGATGTATACAGTAAAAACAAAGTCGGTGAGCATATTATTTTACATCATTAAAATGAAAATTTATGAAATAAGGTACAACATACTGGTATACGTTTTTAAAGAAAAATTTTTAGATTCGAAATTGGAGATCTGATAATTTTAATACATATAATTCAGTGTTCCAGCTAGCATGAAATGGAGGGGCGCCGCGCCCCGCCCCCGAAATTTTGCGCCCCTCTGCCTTTTTTATGCGCCCCTCTGTGCCCTTTTGAAAAAAGTTAGACAACGATCTTTTTTCCTCATATCGTCGCCATTTTGTTGAGTTCTTTATACACACACTTCTTTAAGACAACAGATTAAAATTGTTAACACTTGTTTCCTGTATATAATCACCTATTTGATTAGAGTCAGTTACTTAATCAGGTGAAATTTACGACCCTGTCTAATCCCTTTGCCCTGAAGCACCAAACATCCAAGTTAAATGAATTGATTTTTTAACACCTGACGATGCAATATAGAAGTTATAAAATAAAAGTGAACGATGTTCATTTCTATTGTAATTGTTATTTATAAAATAACGTTCATTAAAAAAGAATCATTCCAATAGTATATTGTAAATCGTCAACACGCAAAATGCCGACGAAAAAAAGAAAAATTGACCAACTCGAAAATGACAAGAAGAAAATATCAAAGACATGCCAGTCTATTACATCTTTTTTTCAAGAATAATGACCATCAAAGGTAAAAAAATAATTTAATTCTTTACCTTTATGAAAAATCAAGAAGAAGAAAGGTTTCTGTCAGATATCGCAATTGTTCTTCTATTGTAAATTCCGCCGATTACGGAGCACTCAAAAGTCCGATTTTTATATCATTTTTCTTAAATTGAAATCCGTTTTGACTAACTTTAATATTGATATTATTAGATACACTCAACATGAAATATACGGATATGCATGTTGAATTGATAATAAACTTTCAAAGTCAAATTAATTTATTATTGTGCCGATTACGGAACTCTCGAAAGTCCGATTTTTGTATCAATTTTCTTATTGAAATCCGTTTTGACAAACTTATTGATATTATTAGATACGCTCAACATGAAATTTACGGAGATGCTTGTTGAATTGATAATAAACTTTCAAAGTTGAATTAACAAACTTATTTGTTGAATCAATCTATTTCTCAAGATCGAAATAAAGACAATTGTCTCATTGGCACTCTTATTTAAATTCACAACCAAACCTATTTTCAATGTAAGATGTAGTATAGAGTATTTAACTTAGCTACATGCTTGCTAAAAATATGTCATTATGTGGTAATATTAAGTATTTGTCTAATTGATTTTTTTCAGGAGAACGCGCTAAAGGGCCTTTTTTAAAAACGCGCCCCTCTATTTTCAAATCCTAGCTGGAACACTGTAATTTTATTTAAGAACACTTTTACCTTTTTTATGTTCATCTATTTTGAAAGAATTCAATCAGTAATATTTTAGATCTATAATAAAAGAGATAAATGCATTATTTTTTTGATTTTCAGTTCTAGTCATATGAGCCAAAGTTGTATTAAAAATTTTGCCAAAAACTGTGACATAGATAGCCCAATTACTTTGACGACCTTCAGGTGATAAATTGATTTGAATCTTAATGTAACTGTATAAGTATTTGAGATATTCAAAAAATATTCCAATAAATATCTCATCGAATGAAAATTGAATATTTCAATATTTGTCAAAGGCACACTTTTTTACCATCCTCCTTTTATGTCATTAAAAATTCATATACATGTATCTATTACAATTCATACATATGACTTTTTATTCCTCATAAATTTATTTTTAATTCGGGCCAGATCGACTAAATATAGGGCCAGATCGACTTTAAATATGGGGCTGGATCGAATTAGACAGATTGACTTTGGGCCAAATTGACTTTAAATATGGGGCTGAATCGACTTAGACGGATTGACTTTGGGCCAAATCGACATGAAAGCCGGTTGAGCTTGGGAAGTTCTTCTTTAGGTCAATTGGTTAGAGCTCTGACTTGTAACACAGAGGTCAGGGTTTGAATCGGGATGGGGATAATGTGATTTTCTAATAAGAATGGTGCTCTTACCATGCTTACAGATCAATGGTCGAACCTCACAAGTGAATGACATCAATCATGAACAATCACTTGTTATTGTGAGGGGGGAATGCACAAATGTGAAAGTAGTCTATTTTGAGTGACACAATAGCACTTTTATTAAAATATGTTAAAATATGCAGATAGTATCTTTAATATTCATAAATTAATCTTCCAGGTTATGGCATCAGTTAACATTACGACTTCTAAAGTTTGTGAAACATCCAACATTTGCCAAAGGAGATGGCCTGGTTAAAGTGAGTATGACATTAATTTGTGGTGGACTGATGGTTAAAGCCTATCATGTATTGCCAGGTTTACATCATTTTTAATTCATGATATAAATCAGTTGAGTTTTTGTGAAAGACATAATAGAAAAGGATAAACTTATAGTTGTTAAAAAAATCTTATGGTTTCTTATTTCTATATATATGTATTTTGATAATCCTATATGGTAAAGCTGGAAGCCAGCCTAATGCAATCATAGTAGACTTTAGACAACTTTCTTATTTAGATACAACACCAAAGAAACTTGGAAAGATAATAGAATGTGTTTTATATGAATTTTAATAGTTTGTTAATTTCCTAAGTTTAATAAGACATTGCATGCAATTTGGTATCACAGAGATTTTTGTGTGTTAATTAATGGGTCAGCTAAATGGCTCATGTATATTAATTGAACAACTCCAGTGACAACTTATCAGTGCCAGAAATTTCTTTAGTTACATTACTAACATATATATATGTCATATTCACAACTTTGCATGAAAATTAACAAATAATTTGAAAGCAGTAAAAAAATGAAAAAAGATATTTGGAAAAAAGTGCCAGTTATATTAATTTTCTATATAAGTTTATAATTCCAAACCCATTTAAATACTAATTGTACATTTATCATTGTTTATAAACACATATCTTGGTTTTAATTTCAGTTGTATGAACATTTTATATCAGATTTTGAACACAGGTGAGTACACGCAAGTCGACAGTATGATTACTTATAAAATGGCAAGGACTTTATAATTTTGTTGCAGAAAGCAAGAAATAGGGATGCTGAAACAGCTGCGGTGACAGCAGTCTTTAACTATTTTGTTTAAGCTTAATATTTCAAAATGGAAAATTTCTCACTTAATATATTAATGGGATATAACTGTATTTGATATATGGAATCCTTGCAAGGTTAATGTCTATTTGACAGGGCTCACCTGACCTTGACTTCATGTATCAGAGATCAATGTTTAGTTTTTGTTGTCAAGTCTATATCTCAGATACTTATAGTACACATCCATCTGGCATGGTTGATTTGACCTTGACCTCATTTACATGGATCATTAATAATGTGAAATTAATGTGACACTTGTAGTAAAACATTTATCTGAAAGGCTTTCAACCTAAATTCGATCATGATCAGTAAAATAGGAGAGACATTTCAGTGTGTATACTATTTTAAAGAATAAATTCTCAGTTTTTGCTGATGGCTGATCCAGAAAAAGTTATTGTGGGTCTTTGAAGGTACTTCACTATATATTTCTTGATTGTTTGGATTAGGTGTTCATTTCCCTTTGGTAAAGTTTGTTTTGAATTTCTTTGTAATTGTTTTAATTTAAGCATAGATAATAATAGAACTAAATGGATATTGCAAAACATTAATAAAAAGATGTTTCAAATTTTTCCAATATATAATCAAAAGAATTTTTTTTCGTAACTGTAAGACTTTTCAATATAATCTGTATATTGTCAGCAATACTTCATGTGTTACTGTATTTTCAGGATCAGTCCACTGGCTTTGGCAGAGATGGGAGCATGTATTGTCAGGCAGATTACAGGTTAGTACTTTCATAGACTTACTTTCCATTTTTTAGGATTTCATGGTTAATCAAAAGCAGAAATTTAATACTGTAATACAAATATTCATGTACATATAAACAGAAATAAAAAGGATAATTTATTAAAAATCTTCAAACAAGAATCTTCAACACAGAAAACTAAAGATTGAGAAACATGAACCCCAGGTGAACCCAGGTGTTCAAGGAGGGTAAACAGTTCCTGAACTTCTAGTTGTACTGATCACGTTTCTCATGACAAGTTAAAACCCAGTGATAAATTCCATGTGGGGTTTATATTAAACAAGTAAAGGTAGATTGAATTGTGACATAGATTTATTGTTTGTCTAAGAGTGGAAGATGGTTGTTTATTTATAAATTTTAAACTTTTTGTATTTCAGATCCAAAAGCTGGTGTAGAGTTTTTAGAGAAACTGAAAGAGAAGGTATTGTTAAAAATGTCTTATGCAAGAAGTTACTCAATATTATTGCCATGCATATAAATAAAATCAGAAAATAGCTTTTTGAATTGAATTATAAATACTGGGTTTAAGAGGTATTTACAAATGTAACATCCTATTAGCTGTCTTTAGCATAGGACTATTAAAAATAGTTAGAGGGTGTGGTTCAGGGGTTAGAACATAGTAAAGATAAATAAAATGCTCCGCAGGGCGCAGCTTGATACGACCGCAGAGGTCGAACCCTGAACAGTTGGGGCAAGTATGGACACAACATTCAAGCTTGATACAGCTTTGCATTTGGATTGTGATTAAATATTTGACACAGCATAGGTTTCTGACACAGAATAAATGTGGTCTAAGAACTTAAAATTTTTAAATTGGACATTCACCTATTATGGTCTAATATCCAAAATCTAAATAAATGGTTAGATTCAGCATATCAAAGAACCCCAAGAATTCAATTTTTGATGAAATCAAACAAAGTTTAATTTTGGACCCTTTTGACCTCAATGTGGACAAAGTTGATAACGGGGCCCAAAAATCACAAATCTAAATACATGGTTAGATTCAGCATATCAAAGAACCCCATATATTCAATTTTTGTTGAAATCAAACAAAGTTTAATTTTGGACCCCGATTTGGACCAACTTGAAAACTGGGCCCGTAATCAAAAATCTAAATACGTGTTTAGATTCAGCATATCAAAGAACCCTAAGAATTCAATTTTTGTTAAAATCAAACTAAGTTTTATTTTGGACCCTTTGGACCTTAATGTAGACCAATTTGAAAACGAAACCAAAAATTAAGAATCTAAATACACGGTTAGATTCGGCATATCAAAGAACCCAAATAATTCAATTTTTGATGAAATCAAACAAAGTTTAATTTTGGACCCTTTGGACCTCAATGTGGACCAATTTAAAAACGGGGCCCAAAATCCAAAATCTAAATACACGGTTAGATTCAGCATATTAAAGAACCCCAAGAATTCAAGAATAAAACCCCATTGAAATTGGTCAAGAAATAAGCAATTTATACGAAGTATCTTCTTTTGCACAATACTGTGCAATTAAATATTTCTTGCTATTGCGCAATACTGTACAATTGACAATTTCTTGCTATTGCGCAATATTGTGCTATTGGATATTTCTTGCTATTGCGCAATACTGTGCAATTGAAGATTTCTTGCTATTGCGCAATACTGTGCAATTGAAGATTTCTTGCTATTGTGCAATACTGTGCAATTGAAAATTTCTTGCTATTGCACAATACTTATTATATAATAATTTACACATCCTGTTTGGTGTGTATCTCCTACCATATCATTATTATTTGCTTTTAAATGTAAATCAGAAATAACCAACTTAAAATGGAAAATTTTAAAAGAAAAAAAAAAAAAATCCCCCCCCCAAATTTATTGAACCCCCTTATGATTCATCACCCCCAAACTTAATCCTCACCTTCCCTTTGTGGTATGGTACCTTGCAGTACAATTTCAGAGAGATCCATACACTTGAACACAAGTTATTGTCTGGAAACTAGAAAAATGCTTATTTTTGGCCCCTTTTTGGCCCCAAATTCCTAAACGTTTAGGGCAATTACCCCCAAACTCAAACCCAGCTTTCCCTTTGTGATATGGAACCTTGTAGTACAATTTCAGAAAGATCCATACACTTACACACAAGTTATTGTCCTGAAACTAGAAAAATGCTTGTTTTTTGCCCCTTTTTTGCCCCTAATTCCTAAAATATTGAGGCAATTACCCCCATCATCAATCCCAGCCTTCCCTTTGTGGTATGGTACCTTGCAGTACAATTTCAGAGAGATCCATACACTTGAACACAAGTTATTGTCTGGAAACTAGAAAAATGCTTATTTTTGGCCCCTTTTTGGCCCCCAATTCCTAAACGTTTCGCAATTACCCCTAAACTCAATTCCAGCTTTCCCTTTATGATATGGAACCCTGTAGTACAATTTCAGAAAGATCCATACACTTACACACAAGTTATTGTCATGAAACTAGAAAAATGCTTGTTTTTTGCCCCTTTTTTCAAAATTTTGGCCCCTAATTCCTAAAATTTTGAGGCAATTACCCCCAAAATCAATCCCAGCATTCCTTTTGTGATATGGAACCTTGTGGTACAATGTCAGAGAGATCCATACACTAACACACAAGTTGTGTCTGGAAGTTACAAAAATGCTTATTTTTGGCCCCTTTTTGGCCCCTAATTCCTTTACTGTTGGTACCATAACCCCCAAAATCAATCCCAACCTTCCTTTTGTGGTATTGAACCTTGTGGTAAAATTTCATAGAGATCCATTCACTTAAACTAAAGTTAGAGTGCGAAAACCAATGTGTCTTCGGACGACGCCGGACGACGCCAACGTCATACCAATATACGACCACAAATCGTATAAAAATGAAAAGGATTCAAATGATTGATCTTAATTTTTAACATTAATTTTAGCGGATTTTCCTTTAATAATCTGTTTTTGAGGCTACAGACTTTTCAATGCAAAATGAAGTCAATGAAATTAATGCTTTAAGATTTAGACTGCAAGTAAGAGAAATAAACTCATCATACATGTAGATGAATTACAGTAAAATTTTCTTTTCTTTTTATACCTATATAGAAATAAGGATATGTGGTATGATTGAGACAACTATACACCCAAGTTTAAATGAAGTGGATGTAAGCAATTATAGGCAACCGTATGGCCTTCAACAATGAGAAAAACCCATACCGTATAGTCAGCGATATATGGCCCCGACATGAAAAATATGAAACAATTCAATTGAGAAAGCTGACAGCCTAATTTATAACAAAACAATTTGTGACAAACAAATATGGCAGACATGAACCAACAACAATCACTGAACTACAGGCTCCTGACTTGGGACAGGCATATAAAGAATGTGGCGGGGTTAAACATGTTTGAGCGCTCAACCCTCCCCCTATGATTGCAGTAGCCGTGTTCATTGTCTCCTTCCATTAATCCTTATGCCATAATAGAATATAATCTTCAATTCCTATTTCAAGTAAATGTACTAATAGAAAAGAAAGGGTATGGGGTATCCATCCATGACACAAAATCAGTATATGCACAGCTAAAAACACAAAAAGCAAATTGCTGTTTTTCATCTCAAATTCACAGTAAGGCCTTCAATATGGAGCAAAAAAACTCTCACCTCACTGCAAGTTTTGGATGGCCCCTAGCAGCAGTTTGTGCGGAATTCTTTACAAACTGACGATCACGCCACAACTGTGAATTGAAGAAAGCCATGTAGTAATATCAATAAAATAAATCTGGCAAAGAAATCAAATAAATGGATTTCAATCAAGATTATTATTACTTCATCAAAAGTAGTGGGTTGTGCATCCTTTGTCTAGATTCTGTACGTCAGAATTCTTAAGAAGAAATTTTTAACAAGCCAGATTTTAGATTTATTTTTACAATATGTGCAGTTCGCTTATCGTCTCAAACAGTACTACTGAATGAATTCCAGACAAAATAATATCTCTCCCTCTGTGTTGTTTAGTATTGCATCATATGCATATAACAACATGGGGCAAGGATTATGAGCAAGCCAAGGCTTCCTTTGATTTAGCTTTATTTCTATTAGACTTTGTTTATTACCCTAAAGAAAATGAAGAATCTGTTCAATTGTTAAGAGTTTTACCACATGAAATTTGCGTTTGTCCATCATGCAGGAAAGAAATTATTTTCCAGTTATTCTTTTATATCCTTCACAAGAGACAAGATGTTGAAGAAGCGAGACTTCATACGACAGAAGCACTGTATTAATTTATTTTCATGGGTACCAATTTTCATGGATTGAGGAAAAATTGTATTTTTGTGATATTTGAATTCATGGTTTTGCTTAAGTCTGAATACAAGCCTATAGAAAATTTGTACTTTTGTTGACCATTTAAATTTGTGGTTCCCCATACCAACGAAATCCATGAAAATTAGTTTCCAATGAATAATAATAAATCCACTGTATATGTTTTTCTAGCATCAGATAAATTTATGCAAAATTAACACTAATCATTGTGAAGTCCCATTAATGTACAATTGATGAATACATGCAAATAAATATTTGGGATTTGACCTAAGCAGATATAACAACAGATGTGAATCTACATTTTATAATTAAAGAAACTTTTGTTTGTAGGTGAAGGCCAGTGATGAAGCTAAAGTACTATGTATGACATCAAGTGGACTAATTTGTTTGAGGACTAAAGAAATGGAGAAAACTAAGGTAAGCGTTGTGCAATTATATTTGCTGATTTTTATTTCCATATAAAAAACATTAGCATTACTAATAACTTAGATATCTTCATCACTCTTGACCCTACAATTATTTAGGAGTCAAATGGAATGTTAAAAGAAGGGTTATTGTAATACCTAGGGCAGGGGGTAAATTTCTTTTTGGTAATTTTCATAAAAATTTAAGGTTCTCTGTGAGATCATTATGCAGGGTTTGCCTTTTTCATGCCATCTGGAAAGTTTTCATAGATTCACGTATATTTTCAGACTCTTGTTGAAGAATGCCACGGTATCATGGAAACATTCGATGGCGTCACCACGGTGCACAGTAGGTTTTATGATTTATCAAGTAACTACTACAAATTGATGGGAAACCATGCAGACTATTACAAAGAAGCCCTCAGATATCTTGGTTGTATGCAAATGGAAGACATAGCAGGTATATAGACCACTTTATTTATTGTTAAGTCATGTAATTTAAAAATAAGGAGATGTGGTATGATTGCCAATGAAACAACTATCCACCAAAGTTCAAATGAAGTGGATGCATAAATTCAAAAGACCACTTTCGAGTTCGTTGTATTTCCGTCAAAAACTTTGGTTTTAGTGAACATCATTCGTGTATTTAGGAGCATCGTCAATTCCTTCCCATGTTGAGCGAGCTGTTGAAAAAAATATGATGCTTTATTTCATGAATTATTCGGCAAATTAGATTCATATAGTTGATAATCAGCACTGCTGTCATTAGGTAATAGTGATAAGGTACCTATGGAACAACTTTATTTCTAGTTTATCCTGCATAATGACGATCACGAAGATGCTTGATGAACTTTAATAGTGCAGGGATACAGGTGATCCTCTCTATCTGGTAAATGACGTCATAAAGGCACACATATTGACAGAACTTTTCCGGTGAAGGACATAACTCGAAAATGGTCTATTTTAGGGTTCATACCAATAGGATTAAGATTAGACTTTTACTTTTCTCTGTTCAATTTGCTTGTTGCTCGTGTAAGATCAGAAGACATCCCATCAGGGGTCGTGTTTAGAAGTTTTATGCAAATTTTTAATCAGTCAATCATTTCAATTGAAGTGCTTGCACTTTGTATTCAAATTTTTCCCTGTAAACACAAATTTACCAAATGAATAAATATTTCTACAAACTGAAAATGTATAGTTATTTTATTAAACATTTTATCTGTTTAACATATCTAGGGCTATTCCAGAAAAAGGTGTCTCCTGGGTGCAGATTGCCCATGAAATTAAGGGGTACCACCAACACATTAGAATTAACGTGCAATATTTGTTTTACATAGAAAATTTTGAACTATACCTCCCACCAACATAATAATCAACCAATGGCGTTCTGCCCCCTAGTGACACTTTTTTTCTAGAATAGCCCTTAGGAAATGGAGACAATTTACCATCATGATATGTTTGACTCCAAAAATTAGTTAAAGTGAATGGTAATTGCTTGTTCATATTTCTTAAATTTGTTGAATTTGCAAAAAAAAATCATAAATATATATGAAATTTAATGTCATTAGTAATGTGTTCAAAATACAGCACATAGGTAGGAGTGCTTTTATTTCATCAAATTTTTTTGTTACAAGAGATATTTCTGTTCTTATTTTAGCATCAGAACAAGTAGAGAGAGCATTTAATTTAGGCCTGGCAGCTGTGTTAGGGGAAGGTGTCTATAATTTTGGAGAATTGGTAAGGAATTATTAGTATACATCTACATAGGATATCTCTAACATTTATTGAAAATAAGAAGATATATACAGCCTCATAAATATTCTTTGATGTATAACGCGTGTGGAGCACGAGACAAATAAGTCAATTAATAGAGCCATGATTTTTTTTTTTATATTTTCCATGTCTTCCCATTTGTTAATTAAACTTTTCCTTGTTAAATTGATTTGTTGTAATAAATTTTTCTTTCAGAATAAGTTCTTACTATTTACCTTCGAGTGCATGTTTATTTACATTCTTTCATCACGGTTTTCCCCTTGCACTTGCACTGTGCTTTGGCCGAAGTTCTATCGAGAGGTCTCGTAGTTAAGGTCACTGCATATATGCGAATTAGTGTACGAGAAGACAATAATTCAATAGCATTACATTTATGAAGATTCTGATGATATAAAGGACTTTCTTTTACAAGAAAGTTCACATACACATGTTATGTGGTACATGTAAAACTTAACCATTCAAGTATGTTAAACATATTCAGGTTTTTTTTTTAATTTGAATTTTCATATGACTTTAATAAGTCTTTTTTATTTAAAAAAAAAATATTTTAGAAATAAGCCAGATAATAGGGATAATCAGTAATCAAAGAATATAAGTAATTCCCTAGGAACAGAAATTGGGAAAGATAATTGCTCAATTAGGGGAGATAACTCAGCTTTATATTATGGCATGTTGATCAGTTTTTTACAGAAGTTTGTAAAGTATCATGAAGTAGAAAAATAATATGAAACAGTTTAAATTAATTATTTTTTATATCCTGAAAAGTATTTGATCTGCAGAACTACAAGCTGTTATTGTTTTATATACCAAAAATAATTAATCTATGAATTATCCATATGGAATATAAATGAAATTGAGTGTTCTTTACTTCATATAACACTCTTTTAATCTTTCATCAACTATATTATCCATTTCAGCTGGCTCATCCTATCTTAGAATCTCTAAAGACCACAGATAAGTCCTGGCTAGTAGATTTATTGTTTGCCTTTAACAGTGGAAACATCTCTAGGTTTGATGAACTCAAAAAAAGCTGGACAACACAGGTATAGTTCATTTTTTCGTTAAAAGATATCAAATTATTGAGAATTAAAGATGTTAAAACAAGATATAAACAGCATATGAATTTATAAAGGTTAAACTAGTATTAATGTGTGCTGCTTTCTCCAGAAATTTTTGCAATGTTTTATTATTATGAAAATTGTGATGTGATAGGTTTTGCAAAACTTGAAAACTAGCATTTTTAAACTTTAAAGCATTATTTGTATGCAGCATTTCTCAAAATCACAGTAATGAATACTACATAAGTTCGTTCCATGATTCATAAATGTGATACTGTAGTGCTTGAACAATAAGTCTTATTTTCAAGGTCAAGGTCATACTATGACAGAAACTTTCCTGATATTACATTCAATCAAGGCCATGCCTAGTCCTCAGGGTGACAATTGCAAGATATCTTTTTATTGTGTCCAGAGCTTTTTTTCTCACTGTTTTTTTTTTTGTGATATTTTAAGCAATTGTTGCCCAGTGGGCAAGTCACGACCTTGATAGATTGTAATATCAGAAAAGTTACCCTCATAGTATACACAATTGAAAGAGATTAATTTAATGAGTGATTTGTTGATATAAGATGAAAAAACTTTAAAAAATGAAAAACCAGCGGTACTTGTGGTAGATGTGCAAAAAATAGATATTCCAATCAATTATGAATAGGATTATTATGTCTTTATTTATCTTAGTAGAAGAGTTTTGCTCTTTCAGAAATTTTATTTCTATATCAGTTTCCCCAAGGTAAATACTACTGGTACAATTTTTTTTTCCAGATTTAGTATAGTGTTTTAATTTTATCCATGACTAATATATATAAAAACTTCTGTATTTTCAGCCAGATTTAGCAGCTAATGAAATTCCAATGAGACAAAAAATATCACTGTTATGTTTAATGGAGGTAAGAGTACATACTTGTATTTCAACAATTTAGAAGTTTCTCTGATGATGGAGACAGTCCATTTATGAAAGTGGAAATGACAAATTTTCATGGTTTTTCTGTTCCTTGAGCTTCATATATTCAGACAAAATCAGTTTTGTTAAAAAATTAACTCTTTTAGTGTTTATGGTTTTATTTCCACGATTCTGGATTTAGATAATAAGAATAAGAAAATTGATTATGTTTACAAAGAAAAAAATTGCTGAAATTGTTTTGCACAGTCAATCTAAGCAGTTGCTGGGTTTTGTAAAGAAAACTTCATAAGATGAGCAATGATGTAAAGAATAAAATGGCTTTATAAACACCAAATAGTGTCGCGATGGTCTGACGACATAAAAAGACCAAATGAAAATTTTATTAATTTTCCTTACTTCTCTTCTGACACATTTCGTTGGTGTCTGAAAGTTATTTTGTTAGCAGCTACATTTTCATTGCATGCTGGCCAACATTTTTGTTTGTTGCATTTAATGTTTTTGATAAATGCTGTAAGAGGTAATCTAAGCCATCATAGCCAGAACCACTTGACATGGAAACTATATCACCTTAATTAAGGACAAGATGATGCCATCTCTATAATTTGAAAGAAATAAAACAACTGGTGATGCAATCATGTGCAATTAAGAATACAGTTGGCAATTAATATCTAGAAAAGCAAAGAAATTACTACTTTTACATTATTGATGAAATAAATGTTTTAATGTTATTTTCCAGATGACTTTTAAAAGACCAGCAAATGACAGACAGTTAACATTTAAAGATATATCTGCAGAAACAAAGTTACCAGTAAATGAGGTATGTAGAAATGAGAGACAAAATGTTTACTATACAGTAAAACCTGTATAAACCAGCTGGCTATGGGACTATGAAAAAGGGCCGGTTTAGACAGTGGGCAGGTTTATTCAGGTTTCCTCTTTGACAGGAAGTTATTGACTTATGACGTCAGATATTTTGCATGTAAAAGTTCTGTCTCATTGTAAATTGTAAACTAATAAATACAAATATAGTAATAATCTATTTATTAAAGTAGTAATGTCATGGTTTGTGTGAAAATATTGTGACATCAACATTACAAGTGTTCACTGCCTTTTCACCATTTAACTACGCACGATCTTTGTTTTGAGTCTTCGTATTCATTGGCTTTAAAAATTTCAGAAATTGGTTGTCCTCGTAATTTGAATCTGCTTGACCGTACTTTGAAAACTACCATAAAAATATTTTCAGTACTGTAAATTCAGCCATTTTTTAGATGTTTTCGTTATTTTGTAAATTGCGATCGAAAAGGTTTCATCAAAGTAAAAACTTGTATTTCAAAAATTTGAATACATAATTTGTATGCAGCATTTCCTGAAATCACAATAATTTATCATGCATTAAAGCCCATTCTTCAACAAAAGCATTTATAAATAGATGCACAAATTTCTAAATTACTATGAAATTTACAGTATTTCACTGTAATTAAAAGAAACTACTTGAATGGTGTTTAGAAAACAAAAAAACCAACCTTGATGTTAATCAGATTTATCATTTTTCCAGGTAGAATTGCTGGTTATGAAGGCTTTGAGTTTAGGATTAGTGAAAGGATTTATAGATGAAATAGACCAGAAAGTATCACTAACATGGGTCCAACCTCGGGTATTAGATCTACAACAGGTTTGTTCATAATTTAGGGGTTTATATATAATTGTATTGAATAATAGCATTTGTTATCCATCAATATATGTGTATTGATAACAAATTGAGTTTATTGGCAATGTATTGTTGCAAATGGTTATCAATTATCAAATCTAAAACTGATGCTGGTAAATTAAAAAAAAAAAAAACATATCTAAAAGCTTGTCATGGACTCATAGAATAGAACATCAAAATTAACATCAAAATATATAGAACTGCATTTCAATGATAATTTGATGTTAAGGTTAGGTTAGATGAATTTATAATGAACTCATCACAGATACCAGGATTGAAATTGTGTATGCCAGATGCTTGTTTCATCTTCAAAAGACTAACTAGTGAAGCTTGAATCAAAAAAGTTAAAAAGTCCAAATAAAGTATGAAGTTAAATAGCATTGAATACCCAAATTTCTGAAAGGTTTTGTCAAATACAGCTATGGTAATCTATTCCTGGGGTAGAAAAATCCTTAGTATTTTCTAAAATTCAAAGTTTTGTAAACAGTTAATTCATAATTATGACCCTATCATTGATAATAAATGTCAACACAGAAGTGCTGACAACTGCGCTGGTGATACCCTCATGGAGGATACCTTAACCAGCAGTGACATCGACCCAGTGGTTGTAAATAAACTCTTCACAGATACCAGGATTAGTTAATACTAATTATATATTCTATATTTTAGGTATCCACAATGCAGAAGAGATTAGAACAATGGTGTTCAGATGTTTTAACCATGGAGAAATTAGTGGAACTGAAAGCTCATGACATCCTTACTTAATCATACAACAGTGCTCTATATAATTTATACTTTTGTTATAAAGAATTCATGTTTTAAAGTGGATTATAAAACAAGGACATTACGTAATATGAAGAAAAAATTGACAATAATACAACAGTATAGATTTAGAAGATTTTGGCTTCTAACCATCTCAAATCATTGTAGCATTTCATACTTGTTGTTAGTTATAATTAAAAGACAAAAATAATGTTATTCATGCATGCTTTTCTATGGTATTGGGGATGCATTCATTATCATGGGTACAAATTTTTGTGGATTGGGGAAAAATTATATTTTCGTGGGATTTTTAATTCATGGTTTTAAAAAACATTGCATTCAAGCCTATAGGAATTTGTATTTTGTTTGTAAGAATACTTAAATTGATGGTTCACCTTAACTCACGAAATACCAAATAAGTACCAGTAGTTCTCAAGTAATAATAAATCCAAAGCATATTAGGGCTATTCCATTCAACCAAGAACCATTTTTTAGATAATTTTGCATAATGGTAATAGACTGAAAAAAGACCCATGACCCACATTCAATAATTAAAATTCCCTTCCTACCCTCCCACATACATTTTAATGGAATAGCCCTTACCTGGCCACTGGCAATCTGAGCTGTTACTAACACTGATATATCAATAGCTTGTAATTAGCACTGTAGTTTTTGTCTCGCCTGTGACAAAAGTTGCAGTATGCCAGACATAGGGATTACTATCCGGCGGTGGCACAGGCACTTGTCTCAGAAAAAAATTTTCTGAGACAAGTGCCTGTGGGCAGCGGTGGTGATTTAAACTATTTGTATAAAGCTATATATTTTCAGAAGGTAGAATACCTGGATGCTTTATACCTTGTATGCAGATACCTTATGTTATGAAGTTTCCTTCAGTCCTATGTCCGTTGTCCTTGACCTTATTTTCATGGTTCAGTGACTGCTTGAAAAAAAAATGGTAGTTTTTTTGTAATGTTAATTTCTCACTTATTATGAGTAATAGGATTACTAAATTTGGTATATGGGTTCCTTGCAACGTCTATATGTTCGTCAGACAAGGTTGACCTTACCTCAACCTCATTTTATGGATCAGTGATTTAAGTTAAATCTACGTGATTAGGTCCGTTTCTCAGGTACTATAAGCATTAGGTCAACTATGTGTGGTGTATGGAATGATTATAAGGTGTACATGTCAGTCTGGCAGGTTTTATCTGACCATGACCTCATTTTTATGGTTCATCTACCTCATTTTTATGGTTCATTGGTCAATGTTAAGATTTTTGCGTTTTGGTCTGTTTTTCAAATACTATAAGCAGTAGGTCAACATTATTTTGTGTATGGAATGATTGTAAGGTGAACGTGGCTGTCTGGCAGGTATACTCTGACCTTTGACCTCATTTTCAGGGTTCATTGGTCAATGTTATTTTTTTGTTTTTTGTCTGTTTTTCGAATACCATAAGCAATAGGTAAACTATATTTGGTGTATGGGATAATTATAAGGTGCTCATATCTATCTTACAGGATTTTTCTGACCTTGACCTCATTTTCATGAATGGATATATTTATAGCCTGTAAAAATGTTAAGTTTATGTGATACTTGAAGTTAAACCTTTATCTTTCAGAATTTTAACACAAAATCAATGGTCAGTAAAGCAAGCAAAAAATTTCAGCGTGAGCACTCTTGTTTAATAGTATGAATTACTGAAGTGAATAGGATGAAACTTTGCAGAAACATTCCTTCAAATAGATGGTGCAACTGTTGTTTCATGACCATGACTGAGGGGGCAGGGCCATATAATCTCCATGGAAATAAGATGTGCTAATGCCAATACAACTGCCTACCAAAATATCATTGACCTACCACTAGAAGTTCCACATCAACTGAACTAATCACAAACTAATAGTTTGTTGACACCGACATCTTAATATGTCTGGCTGTTCGACTCCTTTAAGGGCGAGACAACAAATATGACAGACAGCAACCATTGATTGACTCCTGACTTGGGACAGGCACATACAGAATTTGCAATGTAGTTATGAGAAAATTTTGGAAAATATGCTAGCTAGAAGCAACATTCGTGACAATTGTCCATGGTTTTATTGTTTTTTGGGGTAAAGATTGCATTTCATGCAATCAAAACCCTATTGTACTCACTTGATATCTAAATCTTCCAAGGTTTATCACTACTTTTGAGATACACAAAATATAGTGCATTGATGATCATAACATTCTAAACATCCCATCCATGAACATTTCCAGAAATTTATCAATGAAATAAACACTCAGATATTCAAGTCAAAAAATGATGTTATACTTGTCAAGAAAATTACATAACTTTTGCAAGGTGCAGGAATCTAATATCTGTTCTAAAAATATCAATGATATCATTGTTAAAGTCATCTTTAAAAATTTTAGTTATCTTCCTTTGTCCAGAATTGTAGTTGGATCAACTACAACCAATGTTTATATACAATGCAATATTTAATTTGACTTCCCACTGATAAATTAAAGCAATCTTTACCCTTCAGTGCTAACAAGCACTTTGATTATAAAGAACATTCTAAATATTGTACCTGCAACTTTTGGCTGATATTGGCATTGTACTTTAACGAGTTAATAATTTGATTTTCCGTATGTTCAGTGTGAACCAATGCTATATCACTGCCACCTTGTACTTCACCCAATGTGTTCAAATATTTTTTTCTAAGTAAACTTAAAGAATCGGCCATGCAGTCATCAGAAATCAATACCTCGTGAGCTTTTGCTATCACTTTGCATCAGTCATCAACCTTTGTCTATTGTTGTAAACTTTAATAAAATGCTCAACTGGGCGCAGCTTGATACGACCGCAGAGGTCTAACCCTGAACAGTTGGGGCAAGTATGGACACAACATTCAAGCTTGATACAGCACTGAATTTGGATTGTGATTAAATATTTGACACAGCATAGGTTTCTGACACAGAATGAATGTAGTCTTAAGAACTTAAAAATTTTTAATTTACCTATTCAAACCATATCATTAATATTTGCTTTTACATATAAATCAGAAATAACCAATTTAAAAATGGAAAATTTTAAAGAAAAAAAAGGAAAAAAAAATCCCCCCCCCCTAAATGATTCATCACCCCCAAACTCAATCCCAGCCTTCCCTTTGTGGCATGGTACCTTGCAGTACAATTTCAGACAGATCCATACACTTGAACACAAGTTATTGTCTGGAAACTAGAAAAATGCTTGTTTTTTGGCCCCTTTTTGGCCCTAAATTCCTAAACATGTAGGGCAATTACCCCCAAACTCAAACCTAGCTTTTCCTTTGTGATATGGAACCTTGTAGTACAATTTCATAGAGATCCATACACTTACACACACGTTATTGTCCTGAAACTAGAAAAATGCTTGTTTTTTGCCCCCTTTTTGCCCCTAATTTCTAAAAGTTAGAGGCAATTACCCCCAAACTCAATCCCAGCCTTCCCTTTATGGTATGGTACCTTGCAGTACAATTTCAGAGAGATCCATACACTTTAACACAAGTTATTGTCTGTTAACTAGAAAAATGCTTGTTTTTTGGCCCCTTTTTGGACCAAAATTCCTAAACGTTTAGGGCAATTTCCCCCAAACTCAAACCCAGCTTTCCCTTTGTGATATGGAACCTTGTTGTACAATTTCATAGAGATCCATACACTTACATACACGTTATTGTCCTGAAACTAGAAAAATGTTTTTTGCCCCTTTTTGGCCCCTAATTCCTAAAATTTTGAGGCAATTACCCCCAAAATCAATCCCAGCCTTCCCTTTGTGGTATGGTACCTAGCAGTACAATTTCAGAGAGATCCATACACTTGAACACAAGTTATTGTCTGGAAACTAGAAAAATACTTGTTTTTTGCCCCTCTTTGGCCCCTTATTCCTAAACGTTTTGGGCAATTACCCCTAAACTCAAACCCAGATTTCCCTGTGTGATATGGAACCTTGTAGTACAATTTCAGAAAGATCCATACACTTACACACAAGTTATTGTCATGAAACTAGAAAAATGCTTGTTTTTTGCCCCTTTATTGGCCCCTAATTCCTAAAATTTAGAGGCAATTACCCCAAAAATATGACGACGCCGGACAACGACGACGACGTCATACCAATATACGACCACAAAGTTTTTTTGCAGTCGTATAAAAAATCTCCACTGAAGAAACTTCTGGTTCAAATGTTACTGAACTTTACCTGAATGTTTCTTGAGAATCTAGTTTAAAATTTGTACTCTGGGATTAGATCATCATCAAACGTGGCCTCTGTTGCTTAAAAAAAACAGGATAAACATGTACTGGTGACCTTCTGCTGTTGTCTGTTCTATGGTCGGGTTGTTGTCTCTTTGACACATTCCCCATTTCCATTCTCAATTTTAGTATTGGCCTTTGGTTTGATCATCTCTTCAATGTTTTGGTTTTTCAGTTATTTTGGCGTTGTGCATCACTGAAGAGACATTTATTGTTAAAATGCACAACTGGGGCAGTAAAATGGGTACAGTTAATGTTATTAAACCAGTTAAGGTTACAATGGCCATATGGGAGTGTTTTTTTTAAAATTCCTAGTCTGGTATTGATTGCAAGTGTGTAAACAGACCAACAATGAATGTAAGTGATGGCACTAGCTTACATAGGCCCTTAGGACAACAGGTATTAATTTCAAGAAACACATTTAGTCAATATAAAACTTTATATCTCAACAAAACATTCATCCACTGTCTAGAGTTAATCTACAATTTATCAATTATTCATGAATTATTGTGTCAATTTCACTCCATATCATCTGGAGGTATTCCAAGTTCTTCATCGGTCCATTGTGTAGGATCAGGAATTTTGAAATGAGGCTACAAATATAATAGAAAAAAATTAGTTACTTATCATTTCTGAACTAAAATTAAATGATACTAAACATTTAAGCAAAGACAATAAAATGCTCCGCAGGGCGCAGCTTGATACGACCGCAGAGGTCGAACCCTGAACAGTTGGGGCAAGTATGGACACAACATTCAAGCTTGATACAGCTCTGAATTTGGATTGTGATTAAATATTTGACACAGCATAGGTTTCTGACACAGAATGAATGTGGTCTAAGAACTTAAAAATTTTAAATTGGACATTCACCTATTATGGTCCAATATCCAAAATCTAAATACATGGTTAGATTCAGCATATCAAAGAACCCCAAGAATTCAATTTTTGATGAAATCAAACAAAGTTTAATTTTGGACCCCGATTTGGACCAACTTGAAAACTGGGCCCATAATCAAAAATCTAAATACATGTTTAGATTCAGCATATCAAAGAATCCTAAAAATTCAATTTTTGTTAAAATCAAACTAAGTTTAATTTTGGACCCTTTGGACCTTAATGTAGACCAATTTGAAAACGGAACCAAAAATTAAGAATCTAAATACACGGTTAGATTCGGCATATCAAAGAACCCCAATAATTCAATTTTTGATGAAATCGAACAAAGTTAAATTTTGGACCCTTTGGACCTCAATGTGGACCAATTTAAAAACGGGGCCCAAAATCCAAAAACTTAATACTCGGTTAGATTCAGCATATTAAAGAACCCCAAGAATTCAAGAATAAAACCCCATTGAAATTGATCAAGAAATAAGCAATTTATACGAAGTATCTTCTTTTGCACAATACTGTGCAATTGAATATTTCTTGCTATTGCGCAATACTGTACAATTGACAATTTCTTGCTATTGCGCAATATTGTGCTATTGGATATTTCTTTCTATTGCGCAATACTGTGCAATTGAAGATTTTTTGCTATTGCGCAATACTGTGCAATTGAAGATTTCTTGCTATTGTGCAATACTGTGCAATTGAAAATTTCTTGCTATTGCACAATACTTATTATATAATAATTTACACATCCTGTTTGGTGTGTATCTCCTACCATATCATTATTATTTGCTTTTAAATATTAATCAGAAATAACCAACTTAAAATGGAAAATTTTAAAATAAAAAAAAGGGAAAAAAGAAAAAAAAAGTAAAAAAAAATCCCCCCCCCCCCCCCCAAATTTTTTGAACCCCCTTATGATTCATCACCCCCAAACTCAATCCCAGCCTTCCCTTTGTGGTATGGTACCTTGCAGTACAATTTCAGAGAGATCCATACACTTGAACACAAGTTATTGTCTGGAAACTAGAAAAATGCTTATTTTTGGCCCCTTTTTGGCCCCCAATTCCTAAACGTTTCGGGCAATTACCCCCAAACTCAATTCCAGCTTTCCCTTTGTGTTATGGAACCTTGTAGTACAATTTCAGAAATATCCAAACACTTACACACAAGTTATTGTCATGAAACTAGAAAAATGCTTGTTTTTTGCCCCTTTTTTTGGCCCCTAATTCCTAAAATTTTGAGGCAATTACCCCCAAAATCAATTACAGCCTTTCCTTTGTGATATGGAACCTTGTGGTACAATGTCAGAGAGATCCATACACTTACACACAAGTTATTGTCTGGAAGTTACAAAAATGCTTATTTTTGGCCCCTTTTTGGCCCCTAATTCCTTAACTGTTGGTACCATAACCCCCAAAATCAATCCCAACCTTCCTTTCGTGGTATTGAACCTTATGGTAAAATTTCATGGAGATCCATTCACTTAAACTAAAGTTAGAGTGCGAAAACCAATGTGTCTTCGGACGACGACGACGACGCCAACGTCATACCAATATACGACCAAAATTTTTTTTATTTTTGCGGTCGTATAAAAATGTCTAAATAACATTAACCATATTTTTATAACATTTAATAATGAAATTGTTAGAGCATTTAAGGATAATAACTCCTTAAGGTGGTACCCAACACTTTGACTAATATTAATTTGGCTCGTTTAATTTTCATAAAATTTTGACAAAATGTTTACTTTGACCCTTTGACAAAAATATGAAAATTTCAAAAAATTTCAACCAACAACTTTATCAGAAAAATTTCATTGGTTATATAGCAGTTTGACAAACACTAATTTTGATCATTGAGAAGCTTAATATTTCCTTAACAATACGTGATTAAAACGTCTAGCTGATTTTTACAGAGTTATCTCCCTGTAGTGTTAGGTACCACCTTAATGGACAAAAATAAAATCAAATATTTGTGGCAATGATGAGGTATGATTGCCAATGCGACAACTATCCAACAAAGTTTAAATAAAGTGGATGTAAACAATAATAGGTAACCGTACAGCCTTCAACAATGAGAAAAACCCATACCATATAGTCTGCTATAAAAGGCCCTGACATGAAAAATATGAAACAATTCAATTGAGAAAACTAACGGCCTAATTTAAAACAAAACAATAATGGAAAAACAAATATGACAGACGTGAACCAACAACAACCACTGAACTATAGGCTCCTGACTTGGAACAGGCACATAAAGAATGTTGGCTGGCGGGGTTAAACATGTTTGTGAGCGCTCAACCCTCCCCTAACCTGGGAACAAGAGTTCATTCTATTCTCACTGTCTGACATAATTTTACAATAAGTCTGTATACTTTATTGTACTTGTGATAAATAAATGCTTAAATTAATGTTCTGTTATACAAAAATAGTAAATATTTAATTTAAGGATCGTCTGATAATTTAACTATGAATGATATGTAATAAGGGAGATAACTTGTGTATTATTTTAAAAATTAAATATATCTAACATGGGAGATAACTCTTAAAGCTTCAGCCATGGTATCAGTGATCACAATAATTTTGTTGTTTGTTGTATTGTTCCATTATATCTAATTTTGTTTGTTTTATAATGTTATGTTGTTTATTTGAAAAAAGACCAACGTGTGGTCAAAATCTGAAAAAAACTAATCATTTACTGACTAATGGCCTGAAAGGGACAATTGATTTGTACTTACCATTAAATGACCGTAATCTGTTATACATTTATAAAATATCCAAGACCACATGAAAAACATCATTAGACCTTCTGTAGATTTCATGCCCCAGTCTCTATCTAAGTATTTACGTCCTCTGTACCCAAACCTAAAAAGAAAGAGAAAACATAATTAGACCTTCTGTAGATATCAATTGGCAATTGTCTTGTATATACCGACTATAAATAAAGCTTCATGTGACTGTCTTAACAACTGTATCCAAACCTAAACAAAGAAAAAAGTAACAGTGGGTTATTTGACTATCAATATATCATTTTAAATTATAAAATAAGATTGACTGAATTCATTTGGTAGAGTTAATATGTATCTTTGGAAAAATCAATTCAAATTGGTGAGCCTGGACTCAATTTCTTAAGTGAATGGATCCTCAGTCTTCAGTCTAAGTACTTTTATTACAACTCAACTCACAAAACAAAATAAAAGAACAGAGTGCCAATGTCCCCTGTGTTGCACATATTTTATCTATCCAAGATACAAGGGCAATAACTAAAAAATACACTTTTTTTTTGTTCTTTAAAATTGTTCATAAATATCTGAGAAATGAATGCGTCAGAGCAAATTCAATGTGATTTCCGATATGATTCGTTAAAAATGTTTGATCAGCAATTATTTTCGAAAGTGTCAAACACATTGCTGATATAAACCTATGAAATAAGTTTCATAAAATTAGGGCAAGAATTGTACACATGAGAGCGCTATTGAAACTATCCAATTTTCCATATACTGTAAATTCAGAAATTATTGCGTGCATTTATTATTGCGATTTTGTCATTTTAGACTAAAATGCGATTTTAATTTTAGCGATGTTGAGAAAAAGCCTGTTTAATTCATATAAATAATTTCAAAATGCGAGTTTAAATTATTGCGATTATAACCCTGTCGCATTTTTCGCAATAATAAAAACATCGCAATAATTTCTGAATTTACAGTAATTAATATTTCCAAGGGGCATAACTCTTTTAAAAAATAATTGATCGGCACAGATTTTAGAACTCATCCAAGACATTGATGATATAAACCTATAATATAAATTCATAAAAATCTGGCAAAAATTGTACACATGAGAGCACTCACAAGGCAATTTTCCATATAATTAATATTTCAAAGGGGCATAACTCTTTTAAAAATAACTGATCGGCACTGATTTTTCGAACTCGTCCGAGACATTGCTTATATAAACCTACAATATAAGTTTCATATAAATCTGGCAAGAATTGTACACATGAGAGCGCTAATGATGCAATTTTGCTTAAGATACATTGCTGATATAAACCTATAATATAAGTTTTATAAAAATATGCCAATAATTGTACATGTGAGAGCGCTAACAAGACTGGACAGACAGATGGGCGGATGCCCAGTATTTCTATGTCCCCCCGCAACGTGTTGCAGGGGACAAAAATAATATGAGTGAATGGACCAATAGTGAACAGGTATGTGAGCAAATATCACTGCATGACCCTTTATGCACCTTATCGCTATTTGCCTGCCTTTAATGGACATCACAAAGATTCCAATAAAATTTTGACCTGATAATACATCAGTTCTTCCACTGGTCATCGAAGAGGGTTCTACGATGATTGCTGGTAAAAAGTATTGCGGTCCTACAAAAAATCTGGAAAAACCTGACCGGAAATCCGGTAACATATTCGTCGATTAACAACAACTCCATAACTTCCACCATTTTCCTTTCTTACTTTTCTCATCTTGTTGACCTTGAAATATTATGAAGGTATTTCCCCTGGTAAAAGAAAACACGGGAAAATAAATGATAAAACAGAAGAAAATAAAAATTTTGAAAGAGTATAAATCCCAGCAAACACAAAGTTTTTGGTGGAAGTTGGAAAAAAGAGAGAGGTTGGTTGGAGTTTGATAAGGAAAATCAATTGATGAAATGCAGTCTTTGTATTAATCACTACAACAGGGGACAGACTGAAAACAAAAAGGGGCCAAAACACCTTTATTACTGGGAGTTCTAACTTTAAAAAATCTGCTGTGGATAATCATGAAAAAGAGCAAAGCTCATATTACAGCAGTAGAGATTGATGAGGCTCATGTTTTCTTTTACCAGGGGCAGAAGCTTCAGAAGTATTATTTCACAAATAAAGTATAAAGGTTTGAATAATGTGTTTTGTTAAATAAAATTTGACACTTATATTTCGATCCTGTAAAACCTCATTCTGTCTTGTTATTTTATTTAGTTTCCAGGACAGAATGTCCTGTAAAATCTGAGTGACCTTTGAAATGACTGAATACATGATCTTCCAACTAGTGCTTTTTCCCCAAAAAATTTGCTGTCATAAAACAAATATCTTCACATCCCAATTGTCCATTTTCATGTAAAATCTTACGATACTTTTTCCCTCAAATGATCCGGTATCAGGTCCCTTCGCTCCCAAAACACATTCGCACCCCTCACGTTCACCACCTGGGTCTGTTTGCACCTTCATGTTTGCACCCTATTTTTTATTTAAATACAGGTTGAATTATCAGATGTATTTTCAGATTATATATATCAATATACATGTGTTTAAATTTTCATGAATAAAATTTCATGAATTTTTTAAATGAAATATTTTTTTTAAGTGATTAGATGATTAAATATAACTGTTAATTATTTATCATTATTATAAATTGGTATTTACAAAACTAAATTGGTAGAAAATAAAAGGATATGGAGTAAATGTACATGGGACGAAATTGCACACAATACATAGAAGCATAGAAAATTATCAATGAACAGGGCTTTTATTCCTGTTCTTCATCTTGACAGTTGATGTAGGGTCTTCAACAATGAACGAATCATTCATACCCTATAACAAGGTCAAGACGGCCCCTAGCGTCGACTTAAGCGGTACTATTGATAAATTAAACCACAGTTCACCTTCTTGCTCCCCACCCGCCTCGGAGTAGTATTGTTTTAATGTGTTTGAAAATCATGATTGCTGTTATAACTAGCTTTTATATGTTTGATAGTCGTTTGGTATCTTCCGCCTTTCTTTTACAAATCTCAGAGACGGATGACTTGGCCTTTGTCTGATCATTATGACAATATTCATTATTTATTGTGTCAAAATTATTCACAAAACAAAACCTTTTAGAATGTCATTTTATTTTTAAACAATGAAAAAAACTTATTATCTTTATTCAATAGCAATACACTAATTAACATGATTAAAAAAAAATTCACAAACTTTTATACATAGCTTTTAAAAAAGGGTATGACATGTATGAATGTGTAGGGTGCGAACGTGGGGGTGCAAACTTGAAAGGGGGCAAGCGTGAATGGGCGCGAACATTATTTTGGGCAATTGACCCTGATGCGAATGATCCCTGATCAACAGAAGTAGTTCTTTCGTAAAATCGAAATTGGAAACTCGTCTATAGAAAATATCTTACGCCACAAAGGAAATTAATTGTTGTATGACGTCAAGTGTAGCAAATTCTCAGGTCAAGTGTTGCAGATACCAAAACAGAAGTAAGGTCAATTCTTTGTAAAGTCTGTAAAGGGAGAACAAGGAGAGAGAGGTAAGTTTAGGGTTTTTTCATTGTGCATGAGGAATCCGGGTCCGTTCGCCCAAAATCATGTTCGCTCCCATTCTCAGTCGCCCCCTTTCACGTTCGCACCCTGGATCCGTTCGCACCCGTTTATAAAGATTTTGTGTTGAATAAGTTTTTAATCATGCTTCAGTTAGTGTATCAGTGTTCTCCCCAGGCCCTTAAAGGACCGCGGGCCCGCGATGTATAATTTTCTACCGTGGTGGTATCGTTCTTGCCGCGATGTATAATTTTTCTCCGTGGTGCTAAATTTTTCGGTAAAAAAATCGTAAATCGGTAAAGTTTTAAACAACTTGTTAAACCTTTTCCGTGGGGTATAAAATTTCAGATGAAAATTGACCAGTTCAAACAACTTGATTGTTTACACCACGTGATCGATTTACCTTTTGAGGTTAACCTTGATGATTGGATTTAATCGATGTACATGATTCTTTTGTGTTTTAATTAATTAAAAGATCATAATTAATGATCAGACTTGTGAGGGACAAGCAGACATTTGTTATTTAACTCTATTACTCCAGCCTTTGGTTATAAATAACTTGCATATTTTAAACGTGTTGGAGTTACTTCCCCTGAATTAGCTTATTACAAATAAGTGCTCCTAAAATATCATCTATCAATGAAAATAGAAATAAAGTACAAATTGAATGCAAAATTATATAAGAATGTTACCTTAAGGATAAAAACTTTCTTTGAACATACCAACAAAAATATATTGCAAATTATTTTTGATAATCATACTTTTATTAATGCACAGACATATTATAATAAATAGGTAGTATTTTCTTATTGGTAATTGATTTCTTCCAAGTCTTTAAACACTGATTGGAACTCAGCTTGATATGATATGTGGGTGTACATATAGATGATATAAATTTACTTTACATGTCTATCTACCAAGTAACACAATAATGATTCTAATAATAATTGTATTGTTGTTTAAAAGAATCATGTCTAAAGCTATGGAAAATAGTTTTTAATTTACTAGAGGTTCTGCATTAAAATTTAATCTTGTTTAAATTTAATTGTTATGGTGTAATCTAACAAAAATGGGGAAAGTGTAGTGTAACTACAAGTATCAGGACAAATTGGCTTGATCAAAATATAAAAAGTGACTTAAGTTTAAAGACTAATAGTGCTTTCTTTTATTTATTCTTAAAAGAAATTAAAGTATACAAACTGTTTATTGATTTACTTCTTTTTTTACCAGTAATTTTTTGACCCAAAGTCTACATAACACAGTAAACAAAACAAAGACAAAAAGGTAATGACACAAAAACTAACAAGAAAAAAAAAACAATGCAACGCGACACAGCATATTGTACAAATCATTTTGACACGCGTTACCCTGGTGCTATCCAAAAATCCTGGGGAGAACACTGTGTATTGCTATAAAAAATAAATAAAATAAGTTTGTTTTATTGTTTTAAAATAAAGTGACATTCTAAAAACGTAAACAGGTTTTCTTTTGTGAATTATTTTAAATTTGACGAAATGAATAATGAATATTGTCATGATGAACAAAGACTAAGTCATTCGTCTCCAAGACTTGTAAAAGAGAGACAGAAGATTCCAAACGGCTAACAAACTCCTCACAATCTGTTAAAATTAATTAATCTTTTGTTTTTTCTAATTTTAAATCTTCATTGTTTTTACTCCTACCAAGCTAACTACTTGTATTTTACTTTACACCATCACATAACAATAGTACCAAATTACTTTGTAAACACCAATTAACGGTAATATAATAATTAAACACGAATTTTTATTCATGAAAATATAAATGTTTTGATATATACATGTACATCTAAAAAACATTTAATAATTCAACCGGTATTCGAATAAAAATAGGGTGCGAACGGACCCAGGAGGTATCGGGTCCGTTCGCCCTAATTACATGTTCGCCCTGGGTCCATTCGCCCTGAGTGCGTTCGCCCATTGAGTCTGTTTGCCCTAATTTTTATAAAAAAATAATATTAATGTTTTAATTTAAAGTTTTGTAATCTTATTCAGATATTTAAATGGTAAATATTAAAAAATATATCTCCAAATTCAAGAATAAACATTGAAATTAAAAAAAAAAAGTTTTTGTTTTGGAGCATTTATCAGGCTAATTGGCTTCATTGTTAAATTTGTTTTTATTCAGAATTACTTTTAATGACTGTTGATTGTAAATAAACTCATCATAGATACCGAGATTGAAACTTTGTACGACAGACACACGTTTCTTCTACAAAAGAATCATCAGTGATTCTCGAATCAAAAAAGTTAATAAGGCCAAATAAAGTACGAAGTGGAAGAGCATTGAGGACCAAACATTCCTAAAAGTTTTGCCAAATACAGCTAAGGTAATATATTTCTGAGATGGAAAAGCCTTAGTATTCCGAAAATTCAAAGTTTTGTAATTGAGAATGCTGATTAGATATGATTACGATGTCTTTGGTCTCACTGATTGTTGTAGTTATTATTTTTGGTGGATTAATAATGAAATTGGTTTTTTTAAATAAACAAGTCAGCTTGGAATGAGTTAAAACAATGATGTAAGAATTGTAAGACATTAAAGGGAAATTATTTTCGCCGCTTAATTGGCTTCTTTGATCTCAAGGTGTTGAGTGAGTTGGATCTTGTTATGCCTGTTTGGATTGTTTTGAAATTGTTACATTTCAAAAAAGATAAATTCATACAGATAACTTTTTGGTCTCCAGTTCCTGGACACTTCTTCTTCTTCAAAATACTGTCCACATTCAACATGATGAATATTCTTGCAAGAATATTCAATGCAAATCAAAAGAAAAATCATTATCTGGCAACATAAATTCTCGTCTCATGGGTTTTCGTGCTATTAAGAATGCAGTGTGACATCACAATTTCCATTGAAAAAACATGCATAGTACGAATTCATATGACGTACAAAAACGTATGATCTGACCAAATATTTCGGCGGAATTTTCAACAAACTTTAGAAAATAGAAATCAGAGGGAACAGACTAAGTGCGAACAGGAATTAGGGCGAACGGACCCAGGGCGAACAGGTACTAGGGCGAACACGAATCAGGGCGAACGGACCCAGATTCACCCAGGAGGCGAACGTGCGGGGTGCGAACGTGTAGGGTGCGAATGTGTTTTGGGAGCGAACGGACCTGATACCGTGCATGTGGAACCTTCCCATTGTAAATATTAAATAATTTAAGAATTTTTAAAATCTTACGTGCTAGTTCCAGGTAAACAATCAACATCATTTCTTTCAGCGTCATGAATTATTTCACCGCTGGCTTTACGGGACTGATTTCCATTCCTTTTTGTAGCATAGCCAAAAAGTCTATGAGTTGGCCGAATCAATCTTGAGACAATCATCTCAAACTGAGTGAAAGACAACGAATCTTTTAGATCCGAAGGACAAATCCGAAAATTATTGCATGTAAAGTTCACGTCGGATTGTTCTCCAGAAAGATTATTTTAAACAATATCTAAAAACCAAAACCAAATGTTTCGAAAACGACATGTTGAATTCAACCAGGAATACCGTTTATATTTTCAAATAATGACAAACTAAATATAATTCATTTCTTTCAGTTATTTAAATTCGTTGAAAGTCCGACAGCTTTTTTACATTTTCTCCTAAATTGACTTTTGGTGTATCATCTTTATAAGAGTTCTCTAACGTACTTCGCTGTCATTTACTGTTTTCAACAATTAGAAAAATTTAATCATATCTTCCACGTTTCTATTGGGTAACAATGCTACAAGAATCTAGCTTATCATTTTAAGTAAACATAAGAATTTCTTGTTTAATAAGATACTTCTTTATGTAATAAAATATCACACTTAATTAAAACAAATATAATTAATATCGATTTTGTAAAAACAACCGCATTTAATAGTACGAAACAGAGGCTGTGAAATTGGTGACTTCCTTGACAACAACAGGTGCCCGAGGTAAACGATTGTAAACCATAAAATAATGAACGTTGAAAATTAAACGGAATTCTACTAAAATTTGTAAGTATAGCCTTAATTAATCATTTGGAATATATTTTTTCGTTTGCAGAAATTTGTCATTTATATGAATGTTGTTTAGTTCTTTTTTTTAGCATGTCAAGAGCAAGATAAGTCTTTTTCAAGCATATCAAGCCTATTAGTAGTTCTTTTTTTCAGCATGACAAGCTATTTAGAATGACAAGCTAAGTTCTTTATCCAGGATGTCAGGGTTTCATACTGGTTTAAATATCTATCCTCAATCTATAATTTGAGCGTAAATAGCTTGATTTATTGGGCTGTAGAAGAAGATTGTTTCCAATTAAGGTTAATTATAAGGAATCTCTGTGGTTTCACCTGTTTCACATATTGTATATATGTCCTCTTGTACACCTGTACACCTGTATGTGTCTGAGGTTACTAATAAAATCTTGAATCTTGAATCATCTGCAACCAAAGTGGTTTCACCCTAATTCATGTTTGAAACAGGGTTATTTCACCCAAATTATATACTTGTGTTAATTAGTCAGGAATATAAACATGATAAACTGTCATGTTTTTTATGTAGGTGTATTTGGCCAGAATTATATACTTGCATCAAGGATTTGTATAGTAAGTACTATACAAATCCCTGCTTGTATATAAACACATTGTATAACAATTTATAGAAAACAACCGACCAGCAAATTTGATACCTACATGTATCAGATTGTCTAACGACAATTCAGCCCAAACAGATTTTTTTTTTAAAGTCTTAAAGGGGGATTAGCTGTCAAATTCATGTTCACCTATTTGACTCAATTCTAATATTTGATTTATAACATACTATTACTAAAACGTAAATACAAATTGCAAAAAGTCTAGAATAAACAATTAACAATGTATGGACTTGGTAAAAAGTATCAGCATTTTTGTGTATGATAGTCTAGATGTCATCTAATGAACCATCAAGATGACCTCCGAAGACAGCAGACTGTCATATAACCCGATGTAAACATACAAGTCTAAATTGAAAAGAACGTTCAATCCTATGATTGCCTTGGATAAAAACCACAATTTTTATACTTGTGCATGCAAAACAAATTTCTTGGTAGAGGGGTCTAAATACAGCACAAACAACATTTTCCAAAAGACCTAAAACATTTGTAAAAAGTGAAAAAGTATATTTTAACAAAACGCATTTGACTAGCAGGTCAAACAACGGATGTTCTTAAACCCTGCTGACTGCCATTGGCGATTGCCAAAAAAGCGGATCACCAGATATAACAAAATGGATCTTAACTATTAATTTAATACCAAACAGAAAACAATAATCTTGCGGAAAAGATGGTATACCGCAAACAAAAGGTGCAAAATTAGTACACCATATCCGGATTCGACAAATAATGTCTCTTCAGTGATGTTAGGAATCGAAACGGTATTTGGAAGGCCATATGATTTATAATTTATTTATATAAATATAAATAGATAGTGAGCACCTAGGTCTGTTTAATTTCATATTATAGGTTAACAAAATATGTGAATCATCGTTTTTACCTGTATAAGAAAGATTTTTTGTGGATATATAAATCAGTCAACCAAATGGTTCACCCTTGTTTCACTTTCAATGTTGACATTCTTTTCCTTTTAATGGCTGAACACGCCTAGTACATGTGTAACCCATTTCCAGCTAGGGGTTAAAATGGAGGTCTCATGAATACAGATTCAATGAGGTTAGATTATTACTTGCAATTCTATTAACCATCAGCTGTGTTTTTGAGCTTATTTTGACAAATTTGGGCCAAACTAACTGCTTATAACAAAAAAATCATTTCCAAATTCTGCTTTTTCAGTCGAGCCTGGGACTTTTGTCGCAAAAGCGAGACATAGCAATCCTACATTCCGTCGTTGTCGTCGGCGGCGGCATCCACAAATATTCACTCTGTGGTTAAAGTTTTTGAAATTTTAATAACTTTCTTAAACTATCCTGGATTTCTACCAAACTTGGACAGAAGCTTGTTTATGATCATAAGATAGTATCTAGAAGTAAATTTTGTTAAAAAAAAAAAATCCTGTTTATCTGTATTTTACTTATAAATGGACTTAGTTTTTCTGCCAGTTAACATTACATTCACTCTGTGGTTAAAGTTTTTAAAATTTTAATAACTTTCTTTAACTATCCTGGATTTGTACCAAACTTAGACAAGAGCTTGTTTATTATCAAAAGCTAGTATCTAGAAGGAAAGTTTGTAAAAATTTATTTCCTGTATTTCTGTATATTACTTATAAATGGACTTAGTTTTTCTTCCAGTTAACATTACATACAGTCTGCAGTTAAAGTTTTTAAAACATTTATTAGATTCATAAACCATCCTGGATGTTTACCAAACTTGAAAATTAGAAGCTTCTTACAATCAAAAGAATTTAAAGATAGTATCTAGAGGAAAATTTTTAATAATTTATTCCCAATTTTTGTTGAGTCTGCGACTAACAGCAAAAGTAGGCGAGACACTGGGTTCGGCGGAACCCTTACGAATTGTTTTTAATACTTGAAATAAAGAATCATATTTTAAATTTTTGTCTAAATTGTAGCTAATGCCCCTTTAAGATTTGTTCCACAATACTGATAAAAGTTAAAGATTTACGAAAAGAGGAAATGAAACTGAATTGACAGATAGTGAGATATTTCGGCACAACAAATGGCCTCAGTCGGAAGTCATCAGTGTTATTCCCTTCTCAAAATTGGATAAAACAATGAGTTCTTTGTGTGTTTTAAAAGAGCTCACTCAGTCTTAAAGGTAATCTTGCACTACATCCCCGTACTTAAATGGATGTGAATGGGTATCTATGAAATCCAAATACTGGCCCAAGTATTACCATTGTATTTTTTGTTGTCTACAAATAGTCCCCAGTACAGGGCGCTTCTGAAAAAATTTGAGCCAGCCAGACATTTTTTTCATCCTGTTTTTAATCTCTTAAGATTTTGTAACTTAATGTAATAAAGGTAATGATTGGGGAATCATGACATTCTGACAATGACTGACATGATAATAATTACTTTTTACTTTAGATATACAATGTATGGATTATTGCATTGAACTGACATTAGTTCTTACATTGAAAGTCTTGTCAACTGAGAGTACACCTTTTGAAGTGTGGAACATTACATGTAGCAAAATGATTAGGGGATTTACATTTGGGCAACTCTTTAATATCACAATAACATATTGACAGATTGTTTTAAAACACATGTTTTCTAAATCTGATGTTGGCTTGACAGCTTTAAAGAATGGAACCGAAACAGAAAAACTTAAACCCTTGTATTTTTGTCAAGCATCATGGAGTTCTCTCTATGTTATTTCCTCAAGAAAATACTTAAAATGAACATAAGATACATGGTACAAATTACCCAATATGGCTTTGCTTTACAAATAAATTTTACCCTTACACCTTCCCAATCCATCTCCCCATGCTCCATGTATAAAACAGAAGCAAAAAGGGAAGGACAAGTGGCAACTCCACCTGCTCTGTGTCCAACCACCTAGACCACTCAGTCAACAAGGTTATTTAAAAATATATCTTCTTTTGGTCAATTGATTTCCTTGTCAACGATACCTAGGTTTATAACACTGTGTACTTACATATATGATGGCATGTAGATAGAATAAGATTACAGATCAGCTATTATTATCAGTCGTAAAGAATGAAAAATACATGTAGTTACCATGCAGTAACATCAATATGATCTAATATATACGAGGGGCCTGATGGGTTATTTTCGTTCTTCGTGATCGGCGCATTTTCACTATCGTGATCCGTTTTTCTACAGTTTTTTTTTTTTTTATATTTTCGTGATCCGTGATCATGGAAATTTATTTTCTGTGAATCGTGATTGACAAAAAAATCAACTCGTGAATCGTGATGAGACCCCCCCATCAGGTCCCTCATATACATCTAAATATGTGAAGTCTTCAAATTAATTTCTCCATTTAGGGCAGGAGGATTTTGGAAATATATAGCCTGCCCTAGGTTGATAGTTTGATAAAATTGGCACCCATGAAATTGTGTCACTGTAATCAGGTTATGATATACATGTACCATGATCATACGAAATAAAAAAAAAAATAAAGACTTATTATGAAATAACTGCTAATTTTTAATGTGTACAGAATATTTATCATCAAGAGCAGGTTAAAGGTCAGAATTGTAAGAAAATGCCCATGGTGAGGCCATACTTCATTATACATTTTAATTTGAAATATATTCAGTACAAGGCAATAAATTGTAAAAAGACAGAAACAGTACAGACGAGGTTTAAAATTAAAGTTAAAGTGAACCTACAGTACAAGTAAAATCTATTTGATAGTATGTAATGAAATTCATGCTCTCTGGTTACATTGGTGCTCAACTAAAAAACCCACAGTGGTTAGAGAGGAATTCTAGCTAGGGTATGTGTGTGAGAGTCATAATATTATGATGACCCTTGAGGTGGGGGAAGTGTGATGGGATTGCTTCCCTTAGTAAATGTGGTAGATACTTAGTCAGCCATAAGCGGTTGAGATAAGGAAGTACTTCTTTAGCTCAGTCGGTATACACACTGCCTTGAAACACAGAGGTCCCGGTGGAGACAAGCAATTTTATAAAGAAATTCATACTCTCCGGTTACAGTATAAATGAAATCCATTTGGTGTTGTTGGGCCTATTTTGAAAAGAATGAAATTAAAGTCAATATTGATGTTGCTGTATATCATATTTGTTTTTCGTTCATTATTTTGTACAAAAATCGGGCTGTTAGTTTTCTCGTTTGAATTGTTTTACATTTGTCATTTTGGGCCCTTTTATAGCTGAATATGCACTATGGGTTTTACTCATTGTTGAAGGCTGTACGGTGACCTATAGTTGTTAATGTCTGTGTCATTTGGTCTCTTGTGGAGAGTTTTCTCATTAGCAATCATACCACATCATCTTATTTTTGTATAGTCCAACTTCACTTTACGTTTTTTTTTACAACTTGTTCACCCTAAACTTTGAACATTGCTATGTTTTCTTTACAAATACAATATCGTCAAATCTGCTTTAAAGGTCAATAGTACTAAGCAAATACATGTCTGGTCAGGTCACCCTCTTCTTGTAACTTTGTAGTAATACCTATGCATTTTTAACCTTAATTCAAAGGTCATCTCCCATTTAAGGTCAGTTTTTTTCTGGTCTCAAGCTTAAGGGTGACCTTTATATAAAGATTTGACTGTATATCCCAATGCATAGTAAAATAATTTTTGATATTTTAAATAGTTGTGCGATGATTTAACTAAACTGTTTAAGGAGGCACCTTTACACCCCTTTTAACACTAAAATAGATATAGCTTTTATTCTATTGATATAAAGGTTTAATTTTGACAATAAAAATTGGGAAACAATTAATTGTATTGATTAGTTAATTAAGATCTGTGGATTTAAACAGATTGTTGAAAGATTTATAAGATAGGAACTGCTAAGTTTCAATAAATCATATACCGGTATAACATTACTTAATTACGGTAACCAAAACTATATAATTCATTATATAATTGAAGTTCCCTAGTTACAACAAAACTTGGAGATTTAAGCTTTCCTTTGTTTAAAAGTGAAAAAAAAGAAACAGTCAAAATTCCATAACTGAAAAGGTACTATATTGATATTTTTCTTTGATGAATATATATAACTATGCAAATCTTGTTATTAACTTATTACTGATTTATGAAGAGTCTTTTAAAAATGACTTGCAATTTCTTTTCACTATTCATTGAAATAAAAAATGTAACCTAATATTTTGACTGTTTGAGTTTTCTACTACATTTGTACTTTGTATGTGTAAAAATTAAAAGTTTTTCAAAAAACTGTTTTTTTTCTCAGGTACATTAACTGTTGAAAGATGGCAATAATACCTCCAGAATTGAAGGGTATTCCCACAATATTTGGAGAGGTGCTAGAGAAAAATGTCACATTTTGTATTGATACATCTGGAAGTATGTACAAAAGTCTTGATGTTGTCAAGGAACATTTGATAGAAACATTACTAAAACATGCTAACAAGCCACCACCTAGGTCTTTCAACATCTTAGAATTCAATTCTGATGTCACACAATGGGCAGATAAAATGGTTAAGTGTTCACCACAAACTGTGACTGTTGCTACAGATTGGATTAAAAATTTAACCCCTAAAACGGGGACTAATACCCAGGGTGCTTTGCTGACGGCTTTGTCAGATTCGGCATGTGGAGCTGTGTATATTGTGACAGATGGATTAGCTGATCAACACCCGGTGGACATTTTAGATAGTGTATACGATGCAGCTAGGGGACGTCCCATTCACTGTATTTATCTGAGTTCTGAGGAACGTACTGACAGCGTTGCAGTAGAATTGTTGGAAGATCTAGCCGTGGAATCTTATGGTTCATTTCATATTATAACATTAACAACACATGGATGTGTTGAACGAATAACACCAATTTATCGTGCAGATCATGCTGCAGAACGCTTAGTAAGAACAGCTAATGGTACAATTCATAGCCAGGACAAAATGTGCAGTATGTCAACATCACTTGCAGTGGACCCCGAAGAGAGTCTGTACCTAACACCACGAGTCAATGCATTTGGGCATTATGCCCCATATTTAGACCCTGTTTATCCTTATCAATATCCTGGGCATGCTCCATGGTTACCATGGAACGCCTATCCATTTAGGTATTATTATCCACATGGCTGGAGCAGATATCGTCCAGCAAGGAATTATTTGAAAGCAAAAGATGCCATGTTAGAGAGCATTGAAGGTGATCTCTCTCCTGCAGCTGGTGCCCTGTTGATTGGTAAAAGTGTGCTGGCTCGTAGAATGGATGATGGATATTTTTACCAGGGAACTGTCAAAAGTCAGGTAAGCAAGTTGTTAATATTCACATGTCCCCTGATGAGGTCTTGAGAAATGAAAGTTTCAAGTAAGATCATTGTTGGATACTCTGTAAAGAGCTTGAAGACGGGAGGCATTTACAGTTTTGGATGTTTGATTTAAGATTACAGGGTGCTGGCGAAAACTAACAAAAAGACGGAAAAGAAAAAAAGGAAATTGTAAATTGTTTTATTTATATTAGAGAAAGATGATGAGAACATGAGTAGGTTATTGAAATTATGTTTTTATTTTTTTTTATTAATGTGTGAAAGAATATGAATAAGTTTTTTTTAAAGTAAACAGTTTACTGGGAAAATATATGTATTTACTGTTTCTAAATTGATAGTAATAGAAGTAACTAAATTAAGTAAAAGACAAAAAAGAAAACATGTTTAATAAGAATTTGCTTGTGAAAATTGTGTGAAATTTGGTTTTAATCTGCTGACTGTTGGAGTTTAAAAACTTCCAGACTGCTAGAAAATAAAAGAAAAGTCTATTGATTGAAAAATCAATATGTATACAATATGTATAATTCTGTTTCAACTTAGCTATCAATTAAAAAACCTTCAGACTAATTTTTAAAAGACATATTATATCATTTTACTATTCATATATATATTATGTCATAAAGCATGCACTGTTGAAAATCCAGTCTTTTTTTTTAAATGCCTCACCCAGGTGAACAACCAAACACATACTAAAATGTCTATAGCCAGCTAAGTGCAACAAATGGCTTCCTATAAAAAATGAATAGACAAAGATCTTTATTTATGATAACTGCATTGTATAGGTTAATAAATCATGGTAAACTCTTTGTTGATATCCAATTTTAAATAGCGTAATGCAGGCAACAACGTGTTATCCCATAGTGAACAGCTTCAAATATTTCATATCAAGTTTTGAACATGTTAAGTTTACTTTTGCCAAGTTTTGGTATACTTGTATAATAAGTTATGAAATTAAGACATTACTTTTCTTAGGTATTGATAACTGAATATAGTTTGAAATAAATACTAATGAAATATAAGCATTTTTAGTAATTTATTTTTAAACAGTACACTACCCAAAACATGACAAATGTACAAGCTTGTGCAGCTAAAATTATATTGTCTGTTAATTGTCATAGATTCACAGAAATAATATTCAAACATCTAACATCAGCTAGGCAGTTGAAATTGTGAATTATCTCCCTTATTTAAAAACTGTCTAACTGTCTAAATTGATATTATATTTCTCTTTTAGTATTAAAAAAACAGATTTTGATTTTTGAAAGTTTAAACCTACATATGTCTGCATAAAAACAAGCTTTATAATTAAATGGACAGTATTTTTTTTGTCTAGAAAAAAACAATGAACAGCTTATCACGAGAAAACAATTTTTTAGATTTTTAAAACCTTTATTTGTAGTCTTTATTTTTTCAAAGGGGGAGAGGGATAACAATCGAAAAAATATATCTCTTACATAAATATGTTATGCCCTGTTGTTTATCAGGGTTCTCACGAAGGTGAGTCCATGAGTCCTGGACTCATGAAAATCTGTCTAGACTCACCATTTTCAAAACTTGTGAGTCCAAAGATGCATCAAGATTGAAATATTTTGTATAAACTGAACACTCATATCATCATTTTATAGCAAAAGTTTAAAAGAAATCTGAATTTGATATTGTTTCATTGCTCTTTTAGCATGTTTAGGTCATGGAGACTAATTCACTAAAATGATAAATTATGTTGCAATAAAATATCTTCTTCTTACTGTTGGACTCACCATGGCTAAAAATTGCAAGTCCCTGGACTCGCTTTCAAAAATCCTTCGTGAGAACCCTGGTTTATGGTTGTTATTTTTTAATACTAGTATACAAATACTGCATCAATGATCATTAAAAGCATACCAATTGTATGGTAGGATATATATTGGGTTGTGGAATTTTCAATCTCATTAAAAGCAGCTATTAGTTTTAGCTACAATACTCTCTACCCTGTTAGAGGTAGTGTAGTGATCACAACATCAGATTTTTGTCAGATTGTGTTATATATTTATCTATGTTTTCCTAAAAGTCCTTTATTTTATTCTTTTTTTTTATTTAGATTTTGTCAGACAAATTCCTGGTTGCATTTGGTCCATGTAAACACGGTAAATACAAGGACACTACATATCAAGATACATACGTTTATGACATCATCGATTATGAGGACGCTAAACGACACACAATTCTGGCTGCCGATCGTGTGCTAGCACCTTGGGAAGCGGATGGTGAAAGATTTGCTCCAGGAATAGTCATTGATGGGCATGAGAAAAGACAAGCCCCAGGTTAGTTTTTTAAGGTATTCTTAGTGACCATAATCAAAACAAACATCAAATAATAAATAGTATGTAATGCAAATAAATCATGTAATGGTCATGCTTAGGAAAATTTTTCAACATTGTTTAAATCCTTTAAAGGAGAGTATAAGGAACCAGCAGATCCTTATTTGGTCCAAAATATGGTGTCAGATAACAATTCATGTCAAGTCACAACCCTGTTGAAATAATATTAGAATATAATGTTCTTATTTTGAAAATTATAGCAGTTCTAAAAGTAACCGTGTATTGGTTCTAATGTTAATCATTGCATTACTTATAAGAGGGCTGGGTCTAATAGCTAGGGAGTACAGAAAAGAGAATAATGACCAAATAAATTTTTGAATAGAGAAAAATGAGCATAAAAAAAGAATAGAGAATAATTGGATACAAAAGTATAAAGAATAACTGTGGAATATAAAAGTACTGTGGATTCATATATTTTTATGGGTACCAGTAATTGTGGATTAACATGATTAAAGAAAACTTGCATTTTTCGTGGATATTTGATTTTATGGTTTTACAAAAGTCTATACAAGCCTATAGAAAATTTGTACTTGTTGAACATTTTAATTTGTGTTTCATCAGTACCTACGAAATCAACGAAAATTGGTATCTTACGAATAATAATGAATTCACAGTATAGAATAATACAATATTTGCTGATTACAGAAATGAACCATGTACAGATTAAAGAATTAATCTAAAAGTAAAGCAATTTTTGTGAGAACTTTTACAGAATAAGTGTTTCTTTTAAGAATAAAGAAAAATGCCCCAAAATATTAAATGAAAGACCCAAATCCAGACTCTCTTATATTGTTAATGGTTTTTGGTCTTGGAATAATGTGATAATGACAAATCTATAATGTTGCTGTTTACTTTATTTCCAACGTCTTAGATTAAGGACAATTCATTGTATAGATCGACACATGTCTGTTATTAGTGAACATGTGTTGACCTCTAGATCTCTTTTTGTTTTTTGTATCCTTGGGTTGCTGTCTCATTAATGTAAACCCCCATCTCTCATTTGATACACCTGAAAAATATTTAGATAGTTTTAGAAAGAACTTGTGACAAAGTAAAATGGTTTAATTGTAGTTTCCGAAATTTTAAATTCTCCATATTCGTATGATAAAGGCTGTTTTTTAAAATAAAAAAAGTGATAGACATTCTGAAATATATATAATGTAGGCCGTATCTATGTAACTAAAACACGTTTGTATAACACTTCAGTTAAAAGCAACTGTGAAATTTAAATGTCAGGTTATGATTCCCTTTCAAACATACTATCTTTCATATATTTGTCTTTTAATATTTACATTTTATTTGATAAATATATGTGGACAGATAAAGTCTGAAGATGTTTTACATAGAATTAGAACTATGTAGATCTTGTTGCCATAAACAGTCTGAACTGAAATAAGGATTGTAAGATGTGTTCAGCAGTCTTTTCACCATTTTATTGATTTTTCTTGTTTTATGCTTTTGTCATGGAGTGGTTGAAGCATATTTTCTTTACAAAGGTTTCTTCCATTCTATTTTTCAAGTTAACTTTTTTTTCAGGAAATTTTTTGTTGTGCCTACAGTTGAAGGGGCATTGGCTACGATTTCGACAAAAATTAAAAAATGCAATCTTTTTTGTTTCAAGTATTAATAATAGCCGAATTTGAAATAATGTTTTATCATAAGCAGTCAGTTTGGTCCAAATTTGTCAAAATAGGCTCAAAAACATCGCTGATGTATTATTGACTTGCAAGTCAATAATTTAACCTCATTGAATCCGTATTCATGTGACCTTCAATTTAACCCTTTAGTTAGAGATGGGTTACGCATATACTAGGGAGGTTCAGCTATTAAAAAGGAATAGAATGTCAACATTGAAAGTAAAACAAGGGTAAACCATTTGGTTTACTGATTTGGTTCACAAGAAATCATTTTTATGCAGGTAAAAACTATCATTAACATATATTTTGATCTATTATATGAAATCAAACAGACCTAGAAAATTACAATTGCATGTGTTCTCTATCTATTTATATTTATGTTTATATCGGGTTATATGACCATCTGCAGTTTTCAGAGGTCATCTCGATAGTTAATTAGATGATGTGTAGCCTAAAATACACACGAAATGTTGATACATATTATCGAGTCCATGCATTGTTTTAGACTTTTTGTAATTTTGATATTCGTTTTAGTATGTTATTAATTTGAATCAAATTGACAAACATGAAATTGACAGTTGGATGATAAGCATTTTACTTTTCACCAATTCAGGTAGCCAAGTATTCTAGATACATGTAGCTGAAGTACTAATATTGCTTCTCTAAAAATTGCACTTAGATTACAGGTATACACCATATCAATATTTAGAACCTATATTTGACATTACAGACAAAGATAAACTTTAGCCCCCCCCCCCCCAAAAAAAAAATACATTGTATACGTGGAACATGCTAGAAATATTTGTCTTTTAATTAATTTAAGCTATAAATTATATACATGTAGATTAAATATATTTTAAATGTTTTTCTTTCCTTCCATACCATATACTGGTATACTGTTGTATATATCTGGATTGAAATAAGATAATGATATAACAGAGCACATGTAAATTGATTGTGGAAAATATACATTGTACTGTAGGTGTTAATGGATTCAATGAAATAAGGTATACAAGAAAGGTAATGTTAGTCTCTGTAATAGGATCAACATCTTTTTCTAAAAAAGATTAAAAAAAAAAATTAAATGTTATTTTTTATTTCAAAAAGTATTTATAAATTTGATGCATATAATGCAGTTTTTTTTCTAAATGAAATATGTAATAAAAATTAAAATATGTTAAAAAATGAAAACCCTAGTAGTGCCTCTTGACAAGTTTCACAGTCTTAACCAAACAATGATTGATTTTTCTTTTTCTGTTATGTATAATAGGTTTAATATTTGATGAGCATTAGATATATAGATTTACCTATATTTATTAAGTTAATAATCAGTATGCAATCATACATATTTCTTTTGTCCTTGATCTTTGTACTATTTTTGCATTTACTTTTAAATTCCAGAGAGATTTAAATTAATTTGTAATCCATTTTTTGATACATGTACAATTTCTTATTATGAATGCATGTTCTTTAACTTTCTTTATGTTATACATGGACAGAATTACTAGGATATTAACAGAAATAAAATAATACATGTATATAAATTTCTATCATGGGAAAGGCAGCAGTGGTCAAGTGGTCTAAACAATTCAGCTTTCACTATTTGGTTAATACCCAGGTTCTGAGTCTGACCCCGTCCCCATAGGAAAGATGCTTTTGACTTCAATCTTAATTAACTAGGATTGCAATTTATGGTCTGTGTATCTCTCCACAAAAAAAAAGAGTGCTGAAAGTGGTATTAAACACCAACAGTCAATCAATCATTTATCATGGGAATATAAGGAAAATAGTCAGTCATTAAACAATCAATCATTTATCATGAGAATGTAAGGAAAATAGTCAGTCATCAAACAATCAATCATTTATCATGAGAATATAAGGAAAATAGTCAATCATTAAACAATCAATCATTATCATGGGAATATAAGGAAAATAGTCAGTCATTAAACAACCAATCATTTATCATGGGAATATAAGGAAAATAGTCAATCATTAAACAATCAATCATTATCATGGGAATATAAGGAAAATAGTCAGTCATTAAACAACCAATCATTTATCATGGGAATATAAGGAAAATAGTCAATCATTAAACAATCAATCATTTATCATGGAAATATAAGGAAAATAGTCAGTCATTAAACAATCAATCATTTATCATGGGAATATAATGAAAATAGTCAGTCATTAAACAATCAATCATTTATCATGGGAATATAATGAAAATAGTCAGTCATTAAACAATCAATCATTTATCATGGGAATATAATGAAAATAGTCAGTCATTAAACAATCAATCATTTATCATGGGAATATAATGAAAATAGTCAGTCATTAAACAATCAATCATTTATCATGGGAATATAATGAAAATAGTCAGTCATTAAACAATCAATCATTTATCATGGGAATATAAGGAAAATAGTCAGTCATTAAACAATCAATCATTTATCATGGGAATATAATGAAAATAGTCAGTCATTAAACAATCAATCATTTATCATGGGAATATAAGGAAAATAGTCAATCAAAGGAAATTAATACTTATATAAGTTATATGAGTAAAAAAGTCATATTTTCTTCTTTTCTTGATTTTTTTTTGACTATATTTCTATGAGTGTTTAATTGTCTGTCACAAATCATAAATGTATAATTTCATGAACAATGAATATTTCATTTGTCTGTTATCTTCAAAACACTGCAAAGATTAAGGGGAGATTATTCAAATGTTGAAATGAAAATTAAAATCTTTTTACATCCTCAAGTAAATAAATATGACTTGTATAAGTATTGCCACTGACTGAAAGTTTTAGTCATGGGGTATTATCACATATTGTTTGATTCTTACATGAATGGGGGCCTTGGTGGCTGAGTGGTCTCTTTGACGCATTCCCCATTTCCATTCTCAATTTTCAACTTCACTGAGGTTGTGAGTTCCAACCCCGCACAGGGCAGGTGCACTTTATTCCAATCTTAATTAACTAGGATTGTCAGTTTTCCTACAAATGGTCAGTGGTTCTCTCCGGGCACTCTGGCTTCCTCCACCAATTAAAGGTGACCGTAACAAAATATATCTGTCATTTGAATGATATTAGATATATATATTACAAATAACAATGAGACAGCATCCATACAAAATAATTCAATAATTATTCCTTTTGTAAAGGTCTCTAAACATTTATGTTTGTTATTTGATGTTAAGATAACAAACATTAAAATGTAGCCAAAATTTTATTAACAGATATTCAGAAGAAAGTGTACAATAGTTTTTCTCCAAACATTGGTCCTTAATTGAAAAAAAATAAAGAATTTTTGCTTTAAAGCTGAAATAAAAGTATAACAGTTATCAATGTAACTTTAAAGATTTTGACCTGGTACCCTAAATTGGGATATTTTTGCTGTTTTCATATTATGGTTTATTTGATGCCTATAGAATGAAGATGAAAGATTTTCACATATTCTTTGCAAGTTCTTCTGAACAAATGACAAAATCAGAAAAGAATTAATTGGGTAAACTATACAGAAAACAAAGTTTTTATGGATGGAACATTTAAAATTTGCCCTAAATTTATCAAGCAGCTAAATACAATTTGTAGATTTAAAATTGGAAACTCTATTCCTCTTGTGTCCATTCTATTGCATGGATATTCTGTGGTACTATACCATCATGGCTTATCTAGTAAGCTTGTTTCAATTTGTGAAGACCTAAATTAGATTTTTTTTACCAACTGCTATTCATGTTGTCTTTTAGAAAGAGTCATTGTTGATTTATGTAAGGAATTTACTTCCATTGGCCTCTTGAAGTGTTGTCATCTTCATCTGACACAAGCATGATGGCTTTTAGCTGTGTATTATTAAAATATATGAATGTATTGTTTTTTTAATATTAAATGATCTTTTAAAGTTTTAGCCATAATATAACTCAAATCATGTGTTGATAAAGCACAAGTGTCCTTTTGAAAAAGCGCAAATATCCTTTTCTTTTAAAGCACAAAAATCATAAAAATTAAAGGGCAAATGTCCATTTACATAAAGTGCAAATGTCCTTTCAAAATGCACAAATGTCCCTCACCGGATTTAATTGGAAGAGAAAAAACAACAATGGTGCTAATTATATAATTAGTAAGATCGAATGGTGTGACAGTTTAATTGATGGCCTCTTGTACTTTATTACCAGATTAATAGATTAATGTAACAACTTAACACTTGGGTTAATAAAATGTAAACTTTAATTAATCTACCTTGGTCAAAATATTATAATCAAATATGATCTGATTTAATTTATTAGATTATTCTTTTCTTCTTACAATCATAACAGTTTTTGTCTTAACTAGTCAACATTACAATTAATCGAACAAATAATTCCATTATTCTAAATTCTAATTATACGATATTGATGCAAAATGCCAAAATTTTAAACACCAGAACTAAATTAACAGCTACCTTTTCAAAAGAAAAAAAAAAGCCTGAAACCAAAATATCCCAATTTACGGAAAGCATGCAGTTTATAGCAAATGAAGATGTTTTGATAGGTAGAAAATAATAAATGTGTCCACAATATTCCTATTAAATTATAAACCATTGAGGGGTGAAATAAAACTTTGGAAGAAGTTTTTCAGTCAGATTAACTTTAAGATTATAAATAGGATCTTTTGGAGATTGCAGAGTTCTTGAATAGCTTTTTGATAATTCAAATTCAATATTTGTGCAGTTGTTAGGAAATTTAAATGATTCATACTAGCATGGCACTGAACCATGTCATGACCATGAAATTAGAATTTAAATATTTCTATTTGGTATCAATGTTATCTGAATACATTAAAGGTATGGAGCGAGAAGTTTTCTTAAAAGTTTAACATGACCGATGACTTTGTTTTTATTTTAATGTTTATCACTACATCTTACTTGATGAATTAAATATATTGAAGCGTTTTAATGATTAATATCCCTTGAATATTCTTAGAATATTTTAGAGGTTTAAAATTTTTATTCGGTCAGAAATTAAACATAAATTTCACAGAATATTCTGGTCTAACATAATGTTTAAGTAAAAAAACAAATCAAACTGATTAGAATTTATAAAATATTATTTTAGCCTAGAAGTGTAATGAACCATGACCTATAGTTGTCTACATCTTTGTCATTTGGTCTCTGGTTAAGAGTGGTCTCATTGGCAATCATACCATCTCTCTTATTTTTATATATTAAACAGCAAACAATGATTTTATTTCAATAAGATCAGAAATAAACTGAATATTATATGATTGAGCATGTTAATCAGATTAAATTAGGGACAGTAGTATATGCTTAAACACATTAATCAGATTAAACTGGGGACAGTATTATTATGATTGAACACATCAATCAGATTAATCTGGGGACAGTAGTATATGATTTAACACATTAATCAGATTAAACTGGGGACAGATAACTCACAAACTGACTTTTATGTAAGTTTTGTGAGTTAGCAGCCCAGTTTACACACACACTCTAGAAAAAAATGTTTATAATTGTCAGTCCAATCAAAAAATTTTATAATTTTTTTCCTTTTCAATTTCAACTTTCTTGGAACTCCAGGATTCTATTCATGTCATTGAAATTGGATTATAAAAATAATCAGTTTTTATACTAAATCCCTTTACAGGTCCTGAAGATGATGTTTTAACAGTAACATTTTCAAATGGTAAGACATCTCAAGTTCCTCCACATACTGCAATATGGACACCAACAACTGTGTACGAACGATTAGCCTTAGAACTTAAAATGCCAAAAGAAGCAAGAGAGAAACTCCAATCTCAAGATGAATATCCAAAAGAGTCTTTACCAGGGTATCCTACATCAGGGCCAGAGGCAGAGCCAGAAGAATTTGGAAAAGCCCCACCATTTGAGTTCGATTTAGACCCAATGGTTTTGGAAACAAGACCATGGCTTAGGCCTTACATACATGTACCTTTGGGACAGACCTTAGGCCAGACAATGACACAGAGAACAAAATCTGCTGTCCAGAGTGAGGAAATTAGTAAACTTGTTCCTGGTTAGTGTTTTAATAAATACTTTTGTTACGAATAGTTAAAATTGAAATCAATTTTAATGCATCAACATATTATCATTATTTTAACATAAGCTCAGTCATCAGTGTAAGATGTAAATTTTCATTTTTGCTCTGCATCATTAACTGTGCAGTCGTTTTGATACCAACAAACAAAAAGAAAAACATATGTATACAAGAAGTAAATATGACATTATATTATACTGGGGAAAAATATTCTGGCTGAAATTTTATTCGTTATCTTGACAAGGGGTATGTGCCTAAATTAAGGACAATTAATGCTGAAATTGGGTTACTCCAGTATGAAAAAACTGTTAATAAGTTTGGTTTCATCTGACAGCTCAGAGGATATAAACATTTGACAGAAAATATGAGCCAATATCAGCCGTGAAGATCCTGAATAATATATAGTCTCCGTTGTCACAATATTGTTGCTATGGGGGTTCCTTTTTATAATAAAATTGAGAATGGAAATGGGGAATATGTCAAAGAGACAACAACCCGACCAAAGAGCAGATAACAGCCGAAGGCCACCAATGGGTCTTAAACGCAGCTGGCCTTCTTTTTTTTCATGATCATTGATTTTCATGGATTCAGGAAAAATCTGTTTTTTTATACATGTTTTGTTGTTTTGAAAAAGTCTGCTTTCAAGCCTATAGAAAACTTGTATTTAGTTGAAAACAGGAATGTTTGGTTTAACTTTACCAATGAAAACAACAAAATTAGCATCCGACTTATAGTTTAAAACCCACAGTATTTTCCATTGAAACAGAATGGTTATTCATGGAACAATAATGACATAAATTTACACAAGTCTAATTATTTTGCAGGAACAACACTTACAAATGGGGAGCTTGAACAAAAAATAAGTATGCAACTGAATGAACATAAACAATTACTTGATGAGCAAGAAAAAGAAAAGGAAGGAAAAGATAAGGAAGAAACATATTTAGGAGTATCAGACAAGCAAAAAGAAGAACAAAGAGTAAGAGAGGAAGCTTTACAGCTAAGACAAGAAAGAGAAAGGGCAGAACTACGAGAGAAAGAAAGAATAGAAATGCATAGACGAGAAGAAGAAAGAAGGAGAGATGAGCAAGAAAGACAAAGGTTTCTGGAAGAACTAAGAAGAAAAGAAGAAGTAATTTCTGGAAAAAGACATCTAACAGAAACTGAGGAGATAGAAAATAGATTACAGGAGCAGAAATTGGCAGACGCATATGGTGAATGGAAATCGGCAGAATGGGAATTAGCATTGGAAACGGAAAGATTGGAACATATAGCCAGACTTGAAGAAATTGAAAAGTTACGTGAACTTGGTGGTGATAGATTATTGCAAAAGAGACAAAAACAAGAAGAAAATATGTTTAAAAAGTCTGTATCATTCAGGGGAGATAATGAAGTCAAAAGAGAACGACCACAGTCAGCACAAGTTCTTAGGTCTGATACCGGTATGTTTTTTTTTAAGCTTTATTGTTACATCTATAACACTAAAGATGTCATCAGTGATTATTTTAAAAGCTTTTAATCAAAACAAATATAATAAACTGCATATGCCTAAGTAATAAAAACAAAAATTCAGAATTTTTTAAAATTTTTATATGCATATATATAAATTAAAATGTTGTAAAAATGCTGATATTTAATGTTCTGAGTTACATAATTAACTTTCACAAAATTTAACGACAACATCCATTTTCCTGCTGGTTTCACTATTCATCATCAGGGATTATATAGATTTAGATATTCAAATGTTGTTGCTCATAATAATTTGCTACTTGTTAAACAACTATGATAAATATTCATGCATATTCAGAATAAGAACAAATAAAACAATGGATCTCATTAATAGTTTCTGCAACTTAGTAAGAATGGAATAAACATCAGTTACTTTCAACTTCCACTAGAGAGAGAGAATATGTTGATTAGGGATAGAAATTTTGCCTTGCAGCAAGTCACCTTTTTTTCCAGCTAGGAAACTTCAGTATGCAGAAGTTCAATGAAGTTGTTAAGAATCTCCCAATATGAGGCATCATCTTATAAATTTTAAACTAAAAAATAAAACACAACATATTTTAAATATGTTGAAGTTGATTGTAAAGTGGGGGATACCTTAGGCCACACTTAAAAATATTTTGGTTTGCCCAAACCCTACCCAAAGGTAGAGACAGTGGGTAGGAAGGTAGGCATTTTCTTTTTCTTTTTTCGACAAAGAGAAATTGAAGTATCAGACGTTTTTGTCGAGCCTTCGACTTTAGTCGAAAAAGCGAGACATAGCGATCCTACATTCCGTCGGCGTCATCGTCGGCAGCGTCCACAAATATTCACTCTGTGGTTAAAGTTTTTGAAATTTTAATAACTTTCTTAAACTATCCTGGATTTCTACCAAACTTGGACAGAAGCTTGTTTATGATCATAAGAAGTTATCCAGAAGTAAATTTTGTAAAAATAAAATTCCTGTTTTTCCGTATTTTACTTGTAAATGTACTTAGTATTTCTGCCGGGAAACATTACATTCACTCTGTGGTTAAAGTTTTTAAAATTCTAATAACTTTCTTAAACTATCCTGGATTTGTACCAAACTTGGACAGAAGCTTGTTTATGATCATAAGATAGTATCCAGAAGTAAATTTGTTAAAAAAGAAAAATCATTTTTTCCGTATTTTACTTATAAATGGACTTAGTTTTTCTGCCAGGAAACAATACATTCACTCTGTGGTTAAAGTTTTTAAAATTTTAATAACTTTCTTAAACTGTCCTGGATTTGTACCAAACTTGGACAGAAGCTTGCTTATGATCAAAAGCTAGTATCTAGAAGGAAATTTTGTTAAAATTTTGTACCTGTTTATCCGTATTTTACTTATAAATGGACTTAGTTTTTCTTCCAGTTAACATTAAATACAGTCTGCAGTTAAAGTTTTTAAAACATTTATTAGATTCATAAACTATCCTGGATTTATACCAAACTTGGACAGAAGCTTCTTACAATCAAAAGATAGTATCTAAAGGAATATTTTTATTGATTTTTTTTCTCATTTTTGTTGAGCCTGCGATTAACAGCAAAAGTAGGCGAGACACTGGGTTCCTCGGAACCCTTACAAATTTTTTAGTCTTCATGCCTATCTGATTAAAAAAAAACTTTTTCACATCAGGACAATAAAACATTTTGAGTAGGCAGCTATTTTCTGGGTAGGTAGGGTTAGGGCAAACAAACGTATTCTTTTTTATGGCCTTAAATGTAATATATTTAAGTATACTGTGGATTAGGATAAAATTGTTTTATTGCTGATATTGTTGATTTTTTTTTTTCATTTACATTCCTCAGCTTATTAGGTCTGTTTTGTTGTAGGTGAAGAACAGTTTGACTACAGAAGATTTGCTGTTGATGACATGGATATGTCCAGGAGGAGCAGATTAGGTCTTTATCGTCGCTCAAGAAAGAAGTCCCCTCAGCGACCTCCATGGAAAAAATATTGGAAGAGCGATACTGCTCCTGAGATCATTGCACCAAATACACATGGTGCATTCAGGGAAACAGCTCTGCAATGTCCTTTAGAAGCTAGAGATCAAAGAGGTCCATATGTGGGTAAGGAGTTTATCACTTTTGACTTTGTTCATTTGGAAATCTAAATATGGAGCCAAATTCTGGGTTGTCTAAATGTTAGACAATAGATATTTCTTAAACTTCTGTAAAATACTTCTTGGTCAATTTTCTTTCAAATTTCAATATAAGATCTGGGGGTCACAGACCTTTTTTTTTTGTTAGAATACATAGAAATTAACGAAATCACAGATATTTTATATGAGTTAAAAATGGGAAACTTAATTTTTCCTTATTGAGGAAACATTAAACAATAAAATTGGTTAAAACTTAATGAGAGAATTGCTTCTCATAAATACTTCCGAAATATCAAATAAAAATAGGGAGGGTCACAGGCTTTTAAAGGTTTTTTTTCATAAAATTTAAAATACACTTAACAGCACTTTAATTTTTTTGATAATTTAATCTTATTTCAAGTTTTAGATGTTTCTGTTGTATATTGAATGATACCTTGTAAAGTGTTTTACAAACCAAAAAAATATTTTTGCAACATGCCCAGAAGGGATGCTAAAAAAAGACACCCAAATTACCTTAAAGGATCAGTAAACATTTCGCATTACATTTCAAAGGTTTTTTTTTGCACAAATGAAAAAGAAAAGAAAAACATTAAAGAATTTTAAATCAGATTTGTAATGGCTTAGGATAGTGTAATATGATGAAAATAAAGAATATAAAGGGTGCATCCCTTTAAAAACCTGAAAAAAGAGTTTTGAAATAACTGCTTTGAAAGGCATATAACATGTGACTTGTTTAAACATCCCTTACTTTTATAAATATTGTTCTAGCAGAATTTTGGTTGTAACCAGGGGGCATTTGTATTATACTGCCACATCCTGTTTTTAAAAATCAGCATGATTAATATAAATTCAGAAATTAATGAATCCTTGACCACTGGCAAAATTGGGAAATATAATAAATGTGATTGAAAAAATTTCATGATGGGAAATCACTACTGAAATTATGAATGTCAGTTTTTTTTAATACTGTCACCCTTTTTGCATTTATAAAAACATCGCAATCATTTCTGAATTGACAGTACTATGCCACACAATAAACATTTTTTTGTCATTTTACAGCTGAATGGGGAAGTCCTATGTTTAAGTATGTAGATAACTATGCCACACAATAAGCATTTTTATGTCATTTTACAGCTGAATGGGGAAGTCCTATGTTTAAGTATGTAGATAACTATGCCACACAATAAACATTTGTTTGTCATTTTACAGCTGAATGGGGAAGTCCTATGTTTAAGTATGTAGATAACTATGCCACACAATAAACATTTGTTTGTCATTTTACAGCTGAATGGGGAAGTCCTATGTTTAAGTATGTAGATAACTATGCCACACATGACTATTCCAATTCTGTTGAATTACTTATGAAGCACCCACAACCACCTCCACCAAGTAGGACGAGGGTAGAAGTCAAACGACAGGTTGTACAGAGACATCCAGCAGAAGAGAAGGAGGAAAGACGAATGAATTTTAGGTATAATATTTGTTATAACCTTTCAACCTATGTCTAGTTCTGTTTTCTAACAACATGTTGGCTCTGCTTGTTATCCAGATTGTCCAAAAAAAAATTAAGCCCAAGATTGTTCTGACATCTGGCCATTTTTTTAGATTTGTTGGGGCTGTTTGACATCAGTGCGCTGTCCATATAGAAAAGATGGAAATTGCTGACCAAGACTTGGGGCAGCAAGTTTCTATCTTGAAATTGTAAAAGATTCTTTTTCAAATAAATAATTCATGAATCCTTTGATATGTTATTCCTTAAAAAAACCGTCAGACATTGGATCAATCTTGGACTAAAAAAGGGTACGAGCAGCCATTTTTCAGGAGAGAGGTACCTGTAAAAGTAGACTCACTTTTTATGATACTCTATATAACTCAGCCTTAAATTAAGGACAATGTTAAAATAAACAGTGACCATATCTTACTTGTAATGATATAATGGTACAGTCAAACCTGCTAAAAATTGAAAAAAAAACAAAGGATATGGGGTATCCATCCATGACACAAAATCAGTACATGCACACAAAAACATGAAAAAGCAAAGGAACAGTGCTTTTATTGCTGCTCTTCATCTGAAGGTCACCTCTATTAAGCGAAAACTTGTCTTGACAGGTCACCCTCTTTTTTGTCCAACTGAAGTAATGCCTATGCATTTTAAACCTCAATTTAATTATCTCTTAACCTCTCCTATAAGGTCAATTTTCTCTGTTCCCAAAGATGACCTATATATACAGGTTTGACTGTGTTTTGAAAAGAAAGGTAAAATTATATAAAAAAAAAAATTGTGGATAATTAGAAACAATGTGTTTTCATGGATATCTGATTTCATGGTTTTGGCAAAGTCTGCATACAAGCTAATAGAAAATTTGTATTTATTTCGTTGAACATTTAATTCGTGATAAACCTACTCCAATGAAATCTGCAAAAATTGGTATCCATCGAAAAATAATTTGACTAAATAATTTTTTCAGGAGGCAGCAGGTAATAAATAGACAGCAAGCGTGGGACAAAAGGTCAAGGCAAGAAGACAGCATGAAAGAATTGATGCAAGACCAACATCGTGAGCGTGTAATCGCTCAACTAGAACGTGACCACCAACGTCAGATCAAAGAACAAGAAACTGTAGAAAAAGCTAGGGAAGCTAAGAAACACATCAGTGCTGAGATACGGTCAAAGATTGAGGCTAATCAGCTGAAAGAGAGAGAAAGAGACCAACAACGAATAGATGCTTTGAGGCAGAGGAGAGAAAGAAGGGAGGCAATTCAGGGACAACGAGCAAGAGAGGTGGAGCAAGTCGAAAAGAAAAGACAGGTATGAATAAATAGATTCACATGACATTTCCTTTTTCTAAGAATGAAAGAACTTTTCTTGCATGACAAATACAAATATTGTCTTTAAAACATTTGAGCCTTAGAACAAATTTTAAGGAAGCAAGATTAAACTACATTTTCTCATCTTTTAGTTTGAGTAGCATAAAACTTTATATATAATGTATTTCCAATAAATGCATCTATATTGTTTTATCCTTCAATTCGAAATAAATGCCAAGTATTTTGTATCTTTGTTTTTTCAAACATTAATTAACCCTTACCATGCTGAGCCCGTCATATGACCGGATTACCCAAACCACCGTTATTTGGCTCCAATGGCTCTCCATACTTTTAGAGGTCAACTTTATGATACTTATTTCGAAATTGATGCATGTTCCCTCAACCTGAGGCTATCTATTGTCATGTTTCTCATGTTTAAGTTGCATTTTGAGCTCAAATACGAACATGGAAAATTGAAATCGGATAAATCTGGTTTTTCTGGAGGGGTGGGCTTCCCTTCGGTGTCTTACACAGGAAGTTCAGAGGCCTAAAACTTTCAAAAATAGTGTAAACCCGCAGGTATATATCTACTGATCATAATTATTATTTAAGTACACAGAGGAAACGACTACTTCAGGTTTCAGGTCCAGTTGAAGTTCAAAAATTGGAAAAAATCGTGAAATTCCGTATTTTTTGCCCTAATGACCTTCTTTAGACTGGTGTTCCCAGATCAGTTTTACTCCAACTTAAGAACTGTTGGGGTTAATGTGTTTACTGGGGTCCACTGTACATGCAGACTACAGCTGGATACCTATATCAGCATCCCTCGGTCTTTGGGGTCAAGAAATAGGACGAAAAATCGTCAAAAATGATGCTTTTTGCACCTGATGACCAACTTTGGGGCAAGTTCCCGCGCAACCACCCCCTCCTCCTCACCCCAAACACCCTGCCCCGTGCTCCCCTACCTTATATTTAAAGGAATCAATACGCAGGTAAAGCTCATTTGCATATAATTTGCATATTTTTGCAAATAAACGAAAATTAGACATTTTCAGAAAACAATTCAGCATGGTAAGGGTTAACATTACTTGGATTCAGACTGCTAAGTGAAATGTAAATTAAAATGTGACAGAAACAGTAATTTGAACATCACAATTGGTGCAGGATATTAACAGGATACCAGATCAGGATATCCATGTATAATATATGTTTATTGCATGAGTTTATTTGTATAAAATTGCTGATTGTAGGATAAGAAATATAGATGGGTACTTAAGTTAAATTCAAAACAAATAGAAAGTTACAAAAAAAAAATAGATGATGACAGACATACATATACATGTGAATGAACGAAATTTTTTCTATTGTAAATAATAGAAACATTTATTTTAAATGGGCTTAAAATTTTGTGGTTTTGTCTACATTTCTATTTACTGGGTAATATAAAAAAAACTGGTCTGAATCTTTCAGAGGATTCAGTGCTAAATTATAAGTGCAATATATAAAAGATATGTGCAAGACATTATACTTAAGTTTATAAGTTCAATTGTTAGTGGCAATTATTATAAAGTCTATAAATTTGAGAAAGTATTGGTCCAACAACTCTAATGAATACATGAACACACAAAGACAATTGTGAAAAGTTTTCTGAATAAAATTTATAGATAATTCTCCAACAATTCATAAATTGCCAGAACTATCTAAATTTGACAATCTGTCAACATGAAATATTAAATTTTTTTTTTAAATATATTCAACTAATATTAAGAGTACACATTATTATTATATCATGTTTTTTTTTAAAAATTGATTATATTCTGTCTAAATAGAATTATTAGAGACAAGAAGTAGATTTTTTTATCCTCTGAAAATGACTCTCAATGTTTTTCTGTATAAAAAAGTATATTTAACAATAATACTTAGACATTATATCACTTCCTTTACTATTCTGTTTCAAAATCAGCTTAGAAAAATCATATTGCCCAGTATTGCCCAGTATAACTCATTTTAAAGAGTATTGCCTGGATGTGGGTTTTCCAGCCCTGGTAAATACTTTGCCATTCCTGACCCAGTATGTTAAAGTAATATTTTTGTAAGTTAAAATTTGTTGGAGTTTTGATCTCATGAATAAAGACTATTCACTAAATATATAGAATTAAAACCCAAACTTAAACTTCTGTTTTTATAATATTTACAGATATGTTTTTGTTATGATTTTAGGAAGTTAAAGAGAAAAACTCACAAGCCAGATGGGATTCCCACCATCAAAGACTTATATATGAAGATAACCAAAATCATACAGAAGAATGTAGGGTGAGAGCAGCCAAAATAAATCGCATTCAGCATTTCCGTAAATTGGAAGAACACGGACAAATGAGGAAGGATGCTAGAATTGGTATTACTAATCAACACATAGCAATGTACCAATCTCAAGTGTTACCATAAATGAATTGTTCATTAGGTCAAAGGTGACGGTCAAATTTTATTTGTATACTAGTCTGTTTGAAAATGTAGAATAATGCTTTTAGATAACACCACTGAATGTGTTAAATGTCTTAGGAAACTAACAAAAGAAGACTTCGTTGTTTGCAATTTTACAAGTACTAGGTAGATTATGAATATGAATTATTTTTTAAAATTAGCTTTAGAAAAATAGGCTCTTTATTTTTAATCAGTAATTATTAGACCCAAAACAAATAATCATAATTTCTGATAAGATATACTAGCTTTCTTTTGCAAGAGATTCACAAAATCCTTTAAGCTTATATAGATTCTAAAGGATTATGGGTAATTTTATTGTTAGTACTTACAACTGAAAAAAAAAAATCGCAGTTATGGTTTAATTTCCATTGTTTATGATGTTGTTGCCTAATCAGCATTTTTTGTGTACACTTTTAAAAAAAATTACCTGGAATGCTTCAAATTCTGAAATTTTGAATTACAGCAGAGGACACTGTTTGATATTTCAAATCTAAGTTATCTCCCTTATATAGTAACTATTTGGTGGTATTTTCTGTCTCAATGTAAATAAGTAGAATGACCTAGATTTAATATTGTAATGTGCACAGATGCCTTATAGATTTAATTGCTCAGTTTTTGGAAGAGCTAAATGAATATGTATATTTTTATATATGACTCCAGCAAGAATGTGATAGTGTTATAAGAAGTTCATTTTATGTGATGACATGTGATAATAAACATTTTTATAAAATATGTAATTGTAAAAATCTTTGAGAATATTATTCCAATTTAATGTTACTCTATAGATCATTTAAAAGGCTAGATTTGAAAAAAATCAAATTATGGGGAAAATAGATGGAAATGAATAGAAAACAAATATAAATGAATAGAAAACAAATAGAAATGAATAGAAAACTTATATTGATGAATAGAAATCTAGTATTGATGAATAAAAAAATGATATTGACGAATAGAAAACAAGTATCAGAATAGAAAATAAATAGAAATGAACAAAAATTCAATTTTGAAACAGAATTTCAAAATGTATCATTAGTTTTTTTTACCATAAATATTCTCATTCATTTCAACTCTTACTTTCATTTGTCATTATGTATTCCAATTTGGAAAATTTGTGGTTTATTCATGTAAAAATGCAATTTTCTCATTTAATTATCATTACCCAGTGTGTCAGTCATACATTTATTTGTTATAGAATAAGAAAATGTCTGTGAATATAACATACTTCAAAGATGTAAAATGTTGAAAAGAAAAAAAAAATAATTGTGATTTCTTTTTTAAATTCAGAAAATATAATATTTTATTGTATAATGAACTACAAGATTTTTAGTTATTTGAAAAAAATATATTAAAATCATTTAAAAAAGTCTAATTGGGGAACACACTTTTAGAAAAAGGTGTAGGTGTTTTAAAAATACATAACTACCATTAAGATTAAACAAATATTGTTTAAGAATAGTTTTAATCATGTAATAAGGTACTGTCAGTTTCTTATAATTTTATACAATTTTTATAAATATGATATGTAAATGAAGACGACATAAAATATTACGTTTTCTGTTATACCGGTAAAATCTCTTATGATATTTCTTATGATGATTCATCATTTCTGACCTATGTTATTTCATGGATTACTTTTGTAATAAATTTCTTTAGAAGTGTTCAGCATCACAGTTTCACATCAGAGTTCATTTGAAAACCTCTGTATGATGTCCAGGGCTATTTTTAGTTTTATGTGTAGAGTGATTGACACACATTCAGTCAAATCCTGTAACTTCAATTCTTGTTAGTCCATGCATTTTCGCTGATGTAATATCAAGTGATCAGACTAATAGGATGAACAGAATTACCGGCAGACGTTGTGAATCATTTCATTGCTGATGATGAGGAATTTTTTAAAGGCTTAAATAATCAAAATACCGTCCAAGATAGTTGTCATTATTGAATGTTTCCCCCTTAAAAGTTTGTTGTTCTTTACCTGTTTGTGTTTAGATTCATATTGTTTCATGTTAAATGGAAGTAGGATTACATATAGGGTACTAAATGGTCATCAGTATTCCATAAACTTACAGATCTTCAAATGTGACTGAATTTGTCCATAACATTCAATGAATCCATGAATATCTAAGGAAATTTGCTTGTTATTTTAATTACTACTTTTTCTTAGTTCCTGATAAATTTGCTGAATGGAAATTTACTCATTATATGCATTTTTATCCTTGTATTAAACTCGTTATTATGATTGAATTTGAATGTTTGGTTTAAAAGAAAGTTTGGATATTGTCCTGTAACTCTGACATGTAAACTTCCCCTAGAAGTGATATAACATGATATCCATTCAGTATTTCAGTATAATGTTGTTTAAATGTTAATATTTTACTCTTTTTAGCAAATATTGTCAGTGATGTCCTGCAACCAAGAAGCTTAAATGAATAAAACATTACAATAAATGGTTGATAGAATTAACATAGACAATTTTCATGATATTTCCATCATCCTTTTAAACTTTGAAAAAATGTGTATATATTAGAATCCAGTTGTAGTACAATTGCCTTGTTTTAAAAATAGAATAGATTTTTCACTTTTATGTACCCAGTTTTTTAAGTAGAAAATTTTGTTCCAGTTTTGATGTCAAAATTATCATACACAGGATGACATTTGTTGTCCTTAGCAGCCATGTCAGCAAACGTACATATAACTATCCTGAAAACTTCAGTTAACCCTAACTTGAGAGTCCAATTTGAATTAAATGAGTTAAAGGAAAATGATAGAACCACAAAATCAAGGACTGTAAAATATTTCAGAATTTCATAGAAATCTTGCAGAAGTGCATAGATCACATTACAGAAAGTTGATTCTGTTCAAGGATATTTTATACCTGTCTAACAGGTTTTTTTTAAAATTGTATTTTACTTTTTTCCCGAAGGTTGACATAAAGTTCACAACCAGTGGCGGATCCAGGGGGGGGGGGGGGGTTTCGAGGGTTGAAACCCCCCTTTTTTTTGACGATCAATGCATTTGAATGGGGACATATAGTTGGAACCCCCCCTTTATCCTGGGTTAGGAACCCCCCCCCCCCTTTTATTAATGACTGGATGTGCCCCTGACAACTAAAGATCATCATAAAAAGCAACATTGACCATTTATTACTTTTGCTAACCAGATCCAATTTGTGAAGATATTTTTGACATACAGAACTTGAGACAAAATGATTTTATTGCTATTTGGGACTGTTGGTCAAGTGAACTGGAATATGACATACTGACATCATGCAAACATTAAGTTTTGCACTGTGACATCAGACATTTAATCTTGTGACTTCAAATTATATGGGAATGCCAATGATATCCAGTAATTGCAGACAAATAGCAATAAGATGTATGGATTTTGCTTTGCTCAACACATTCCAGTATTTATATTTGTCAGCTTTAGGTAGAGATTTCGATTTGTTGTTTTTAACATGCATTCATGTGTAATACAGGTAGTAGAAGCCAAAATCTCACTAGAAATGTTTTAGTGCTATTATACTCTATAAATTTAATTGAACATAAATAATTCCCAAATGAATTCTTATAGAAATACTTTTTCTAGTGTATTTCTAATTGATTTAAAAAAGGTTTACCAGAAGGGAATTTTAAATGAGTTTACAATATTAAATAGATGTTTCAAATAAATTAGCAATTGTACAATACCTACTAGATTTTATTAGTACTTTCCTATTTTATCAGCTGAGTTATTATTTGAAGCACCCTTTTGAACAAGCTCCTATTTACTTATATTTAAACAGTTTGAGGGAAAGTGGAAGTGTAAGTTAAATTTGATTTTTAATATAGCCAGATATAACATTAGGGCTCTTTGTCAGTTAGAATTTGAATTAAAAACATCTCTGCAAGTCAGGTCTTTTTTTTTTCGAAAATCAAAATCTTTTTTCCTGTTCTTTATTCATTGTAGCAACTTAAGTAAACACAAGGTGGGACTAGAATGATAGATGAAAGAACATTTATTTTACATTGGACTGGTATCCTAATAAAATGGAGAGGAATGCAGTCATTAAAAATTACACAATAATCAGCCCCACCTCCTGTTTATTAAAGTTGTTAAATATTGTTATGTTTATGTGTTGTTTATCTGTTAACTATGTCTGTTAACTATGTCTGTGATAATTGTGGTGTTTATTCACCAGATCAGGATTTTTATAGCTGATTGCTTGAAATAGATTCTGTTGTAGAAAATAAAAGTGAAAACATAAAAAAATGTGTTGTTTTGTCTTACCTGAAACGAATGGGGAGATGTATTTATTTATGCTTATCTGGCACTGTAGGTGACCGTTACAGTGTAATTTATTATATGTTTATTTTATATTCAAAAGAAAGAATGGCCTGTTGCAAGACAAAATTCCAGTTTTTCTGTGACAGTCCACATTTTCCGCCATTCATCCCTGCCTTCCCACCTTTCAGAACTTACCTATTGTATTAGTTGTTAATAATTTCTCGTTTTGAAAATACATAAAAAAAATTGCCACTGAATGTTGAGCAAGCAACAATTAATCATTCAATCAAATAAAGAATAGTCTATTTATTGCATACAGACATATGTTCTTAAGTTTGGGTCTGGCATATGACCGTTGACCGTGGAACTCCAAACATTGTTCAATGATCAAATGAAAAAAAAATTTATCACACGATCTCTCGAAATGCCTTGAGTAATACCTTAACTATATTTGGTAAATAGAATCATTGCAAGGTGCTTATTTCCATTTGACAGAGCTTACCTGAATTTGCCTCCTTTTCATTGAAGCTCCTCGATGGATTCGTAGTAGCCTGCTTGTCTTGAGTGCGGGAAGTCATTGATTCGAACCATGGCCGGATCAAACTAGACTTGAATATTAATATTTGCTGCTTTTTCATTAAGCACTTGGCATTAAAGAGTAAGAGCAAAGATTAGTTGGCTTTAGTCGGAATAATGTGTCTGGGTAAGGTGACATGTCTTACTGTGGACTGTAACATTATAAACTGTTACCTACAAAATCCAGCTCAGCATGTCGGTCTAGTACACAGTAGGTTTAAGTTCATATCTGACGATCATGTTCTCGTCCTGAATATGCGTTTAATTTGTCACAGGAAGGAAAACATCCATTAATCCATCTTTTTCATGATTCTTTGTTAAATGTGAAGACCCCACTTTCAGTTCATGTAATAGGTCTACAATATTTGGTCTATAAATTCAATATAAGGTGTATAGGTTCATATTAGATCATATTACAGGGTACATGACTTTGGTCTCTTTTATGGTTTACTGACCATTGTTTAGTTTTCATGATATATTATAGAGGCAGCAGTAGCTTACTAAGGTTACAGTCTAATAAATCCATTAAGAAGATACAAATCATGGAATCGCTTGAACTGCAAACTGTAAAATAACAAAAATACCGAACTCCAAGGAAATTTCAAAACGGATAGAGGTAGGGCCAATTTCCCCTGATTTTTTTTTCACAGAAGGGCCAATTTCAAAAAGTGCTGAAAGAATAAAATTTACGATAAAAACAAGAAATAAAAATGTTTTTTGATCAATATCTCGATTTTAATTTATTATGATATGTCGGAAAAATAGTTAATCTAACCCCCCAAATAAGATGAAAGTCAAATATGCGGAATTTACCGTGTTTTTAGGTGAAAAAAACAGGGAATCCCCCGAGAAGGACATTTCAAACCAAAACAAAGTTATGTTTTTTGTTGTTGTTGTAATTTATATAACTTTTTTCCTCAAAAATGAAATTGTGTCCTTAATACCTAAAAAACAACTTTTTAATAACAAAAAAAAATGGAACATCACTAAATTGTACCTATATAGCAGCTTAATGACACATTTGAATTCAAGAGTCGTTGTGGCTCCATCGGTAGCGCATATAACTGTAAATGATAGACTGCTTGTAAGAAGGGGTTCAAATCTCCTGAAGTTTTTTCACTTTTTGTGGTTGAAATATTAAATTGTAATGTTTCTATCATATTTTTTCGGATGTTTGTTTAATTCATAGAGTCATTATGGATCATTTTGACTATATATCATTTCATTAAAGAAAAAAAAATAATGTGTTGCTTATTGTGTGCGTTCCTATTACTATCCATACTCTTGACTTACTTCCTATTCCTGTGTTTACATTTATTATATATATACAAGGAACAATTGCCGTCAAACTGAAGAAGGTGCTTGTACATAACCAATAACACGAGAATTGATTATATAGCAATGAAGCCCAAATGTTGTGTGTGTAATATACACATAACGAAAAAAGGCCATAGCTGAAAAATTTCATGACAACAAAAACAATTTTTCGAAACCTTGAACAAGAACGTTTTTGAAAATGGTATTATGTGTAACAAATGCAGACAGCAATTTTAATTATCGCCAATCAACCAACTGTGTAGACACTAGTACTGACATTGTTACCACCGTCCTTGTACCAGTACCTAAGTCATCAGAAAATAAAACAACACCACATAACAAATCAATTACACTATCAATCGTAACTGTAGGTAAAACATCAAGAAAGTGTAGCATCTGTATCACAACTAAGGGTCCATTTGTTACGATGCCAGAAAAGGACAGATTACATATGTTTGTAACACAAGGTGTTCTAGTACCAACTGGTGTAAGATGTTGTCCGGTTCATATAGACGGTAAAACCTTAAAAATTGACAGAGATAGATACATCCAGATTGAGGAAAACAACATCCCAGTTAAATGCGTCCGATATTATTTGGCTTCTTGACAGGTTACGTGGTATGGTATCTCATGCAAAGAAAAAGAGACTAGACTTGTTGATTGTTAACGGTTGGTTTTGTGAGTGAAAGGCGAGAGCCAGAACTATGGGATGCTGTGCCTATGTAGCTGCGATATTGTGGTACATGGGATATGCCAGACATACAGAATATAAAACCAAAAATAAGTAGATATTCCGCTGCATTTAAAGATGCCAGTATAAACATTAAGACAGAGACCGATCTTGAATCAGATTAGCTGGTTTATATCAGATAATTAGATTATTAAATGTGTTTTGTATTTATATTTAACCCCCGTTTTTATTATTTTGTTAGTTTTAAGTTAAACAAAGCTATAAAATAAATGTACGCTACAAATCACCTACCACACCTACCAACATTAACACGCTAAGTTAAACTGAAGAAACATGTTGTTTTAATACAAAACTAATTTTGAATATCTATTAGTTGATAATTCATATTTTAATGCACCTCAGGGGCGTTCAAAAAATCAATAGTCTTGGCCTTGTTTATTGTAGGAATACCTGTTCAAGGTACGAAAATAGATGATATGACGTATTTTCATGTACTATAATAAGCAGCTATCGGGCTATTTAAAAACATGATTTACTTACCTAATCAAATGAAAAGAAATCAGGTGAAAATGGCCCTACCTCTTTCTTTATCAAATGGCAAATTCAAAAGCTCAAACACATCGAACGAATGGAAAACAACTGACTTGGTACAGACATTTCCTAATGTAGAAAATGGTGGATTAAACCTGGTTTTATAGCTAGCAAAAGAGCGAGACCAGATGCGTCGACAGGGTAAGTGTCTCCTGCTAGGCATGCATCACCCGCCATGCTAATTCACACTCAGTCAAAATGTTGTAATTGGAAATAGGACACAATTGGTAAAAGTACAGATCAGAAGACTATACTGATATCCAAAGATCTGGGACTGCAACCACATGTCCTATAGGACACAATTAGTAAAAGTACAGATCAGAAGACTATACTGATATCCAAAGATCTGGGACTGCAACCACATGTCCTATAGGACACAATTGGTAAAAGTACAGATCAGAAGACTATACTGATATCCAAAGATCTGGGACTGCAACCACATGTCCTATAGGACACAATTAGTAAAAGTTCAGATCAGAAGACTATACTGATATTCAAAGATCTGGGACTGCAACCACATGTCCTATAGGATACAATTAGTAAAAGTACAGATCAGAAGACTATACTGATATCAAAAGATCTGGGACTGCAACCACATGTCCTATAGGACACAATTGGTAAAAGTACAGATCAGAAGACTATACTGATACCCAAAGATCTGGGACTGCAACCACATGTCCTATAGGATACAATTACTAAAAGTACAGATCAGAAGACTATACTGATATCCAAAGATCTGGGACTGCAACCACATGTCCTATAGGACACAATTGGTAAAAGTACAGATCAGAAGACTATACTGATATTCAAAGATCTGGGACTGCAACCACATGTCCTATAGGACACAATTAGTAAGAGTTCAGATCAGAAGACTATACTGATACCCAAAGATCTGGGACTGCAACCACATGTCCTATAGGATACAATTAGTAAAAGTACAGATCAGAAGACTATATTGATATCAAAAGATCTGGGACTACAACCACATTTCCTATAGGACACAATTGGTAAAAGTACAGATCAGAAGACTATACTGATATCCAAAGATCTGGGACTGCAACCACATGTCCTATAGGACACAATTGGTAAAAGTACAGATCAGAAGACTACTGATATCCAAAGATCTGGGACTGCAACCACATGTCCTATAGGACTCAATTGGTAAAAGTACAGATCAGAAGACTATACTGATATCCAAAGATCTGAGACTGCAACCACATGTCCTTTAGGACACAATTGGTAAAAGTACAGATCAGAAGACTATACTGATATCAAAAGATCTGAGACTGCAACTACATGTCGCTAGTGAGTTGAGATATTGAACGTAGTAATGCGGATCGTAAAGCAGATTTTGATTTTTTTACCGTTAAGGAAGATGTTGCAGCCCAGAAATCAGATGTGCAAGCATAACAATCCGAAATTGACGAATGTATGTCGCAAATATTATTTGATTTATCTCCGTATAATAACACTTGAACAATTGCGTTTTTTAGTTACGTTTAGCAACATAGTCGTTGGATTGAGGATGAACATCTTCCTCTGCATTGGATAAATAAATTCAAATACTTCAGCTCAACTAGAATTATGTACACATACAACTTTGCAGTACAAAAAACCTTATGATCCGGTCGAAAGTCATACAAACTATCGAGTTAACACCGTTAACATAATTACTAACTATAAAGAGAATGACATGGAAGCAGATTTCTATCGTTTTACTTTTAAAGTGATATACTGATGATAACATCTATCACTAAGAGATTCAATATGGCTGATCAAAATAGGCGGAGAATGTATACAAATGGGAATA